CTCTATACTCCAATGTCACTGATATGGAGGACGATGCACTTCAATATGGCAGGTCCTACACCTGAGCATCGGGCTTTCACATGGCACCTCGAATCTGTGGTTTGAATCCACCCCAGCAGTTACCTCATGTGTAATTACTCAATTTCAACTACACCTTCTCAAAAGATTGGTTCAAGTTGTTCATTCAGGTTCGCCCTCATGGAGCCGTGACAGTGATCGATCCAAACGTTCCAGTGCATATATTAGCATTCCTAGGAATCAGACAATATCCCAGAATGTGTGGGAGTACGATGGTAGACATTGAGCAACAACTTGACTTGATCGCCTGTACCTCTTTGGACGTCTGCTGTCCCAACCTAAAAACGACTTGTCCATAGTATCAATCTCCAAGAAGAAAAAACCATGGATTCGACGCTTCTGAACTTCGGCCACGATAAGAGCCCCCTTCAATGTCAAGTTGCACTAGTAAGATAGAGTCAAACTTGGTTGAGACGGTCATATCCAAGAATGCGATTACCAATCAAGAACTGTCTGCCGCAAGTCTAAGCCAGCTCCGTAATGAGCTACCAGACCTTGCTCTGAACAAATAGCTGTGCCTAAAATGTTGCCGTTGCCGACGTCGGTGAAGGCCTCACAACGAGCCACTACATCTTCGACAGTCCTTCTTGTTCCTGAGCTGGGAAAGCAGGTGACAAATCATACACCTGTAGACCTCGCTGACTCGATGAGAGTATAGGCGGTCGGAACGTCGGGTGTCCAGTCTCGCTGTCAACTCACCTTGCAGCCCCGACGCAGCACTAATGCTGATACACAATGCTTCGGTCTCGGTGCAACGTACCCCGAGTAGTCCGCAATCTGTGAGCGGCCCGTCCCGCCCAGCCTAGGTAGCATATGTTTTCTCTGGAGAACCCCATACCCCCTAGGCCCCAACCGTAGTCTGTGAGATTCTGGTCAAGGGGGTCAGTCCAATAACTCCAGACACAGCCTCACCATGAGAGACCCATTGTCTGCTGCCCCAAGGCGTATATCGCCGTTGGGGATTCCGCAAGCTGACAAGATCTACGGCATTGGGCCTCACAGCGTGCTTTTCAACACTGCCTACCAAATCATATCTCGGTAGACGAAACTGCTGCTAGACCATACCATAGTCATATACAAAGACGCCTTCGTTGGATGAACGGATGAACATTGTCCGGTAGGTGGGATGTGTGTCACGTATCAGCTTGCAGACTGTGCCCCCGATAGGTGCCGTGCCGATCGGAGGGCGTGGCGTTTCTCGAGAGTAATGCTCTGCGTGTAGCTGTACCGCGACTATGTGTACCTTGCAGCAGCGGCTGTACTCGACCGAAGCCGCGGATCATCGATGCGCTTGCATACCACCTGCAGCTACGGCACTTGCGCCGATGAGCTTTTGGCCGGTTGTATATGTCGTATGCTACGGTACCTTCAAGGGCTTTCCTCATCACGACCAAATGCAAAATCTGGGACCTTCGAATGGCCGCCTTGTCGCCTTGAAACGTGGATGTCCGAGGTGAACATGCTCGCGCGAGGGTGGCAGAACCCCACCCGGTGTCGTGGGCAGTGGCTGAAGATGTCTAAGACCTCTTGTGTTATATAAAGAACGCGGATCACTGCAGTATCGAAGAAAAAACCACGGTCGAGAGGAACAGTGAGTTTGGTGGAACGGAGCAAGTAAAAAACAAACTTTGGCGGGGATCGTCCGGAAGCCGTTCATTTCTCCAGACATGGAGCGGCCATGTCATGCCATCTGGAGGCATGGCATTTTCGTCAGATGTTCCTCGGGAGGACGGTAACTGCAATTGACTTTGCTTAGCGGCAGCAGCGGCGTGAAAGCCATCGGGAACGGAACCGACGGACGGACGTTTCTGCCGCGGTCGCAGCCGCAAAGCCCGTTGCGCCCATGTTGGCGCGATATCTCGTGCCGTCGGCATTCAAGAAACAATCAGAGACATTGGTTTGGGGGTCGGTCCCCCATGCGCCGATCAGCATCGTGGGCCCCAGGGAACAGGCACGACGGGGAAAGAAACACATGGAAGGCAGTTTGGCATGTGATTCCCCATCCACCTCCAGGGGATTGGGCGAGAGGGATGATTGGCAATATCGCATTGCGTCTAATCTTGGGCTGCTCTTGGGAGCGGTTCCCACTGAGGGGCTGCTTTCGGAGACGAGCATTGGACGCTGGACACTAAGACATGGGGGGAGTTGATAGGGCGGTGGGTACAGCCGCAGTTTGTTGACTTTCCGCCGTTGCTTTTTTGTCTTGTGACAAGCCGAGCTCCAACGCTCCATGGGGGAAAGAACGATGGGGGACAGGGACGTTGGAGAAACGGCCTGAGACTTGAAGAGGGGAGAGAGAAAAGAGGAGCAGACACGGGCAAATACGCCCATCATTTGCCAAAAACAAAAGTACGAGGTCCGACTTTGCCTCGGCCAGTGCCCGGAGGGGCGAAGCGGAGAGTCCGGCCGAGGCATCCCGGGGCTCAGAAGCCTTCGTCCGGTCCATCCTCACTTTCCCTTCCAGTGCTCTCAGCTCAGCACCCCCCTGGCCCAAGATCAAAATAAGGACCCGACTCGGCCTCAACCCCTGGCATTTTCGTTGGGCGACCATGCCTGTTTGGGAAAGCGGTGACGAGTGCTGCCGCGACCCTGCCGGCTTGGACATGCGTCATGCTGCTCTCAACACTGCCGTCGGGCAGGAAGACCCCGGTAATCTGGTCGAGCTGATTGCCAACTTTGACAGCCATTGGCAGTAGCTTCTCTTTCCAGACGGGGATGGGGCCGGGGAGGGGAGAGAGACTGTTGGTGGGTAAAGCGCAGAAATAGAGAAGAAAGAGGGAGGGAGAGAGGGGGAGATACACACACACACACACACACACAGGCAGGTACACAGGGACACGGCAGACAGGGGCGGATGGAGGGGCAAAAAAACCACACAAGCACCGCACGACGAGGGTGCGCCGTTGCGTTGTCTCCCTCTTTTTTTTTCTGCCGCCCGTCTGCCGCCGCTGTCGTGACCCCAAGAAAAGACAAGACACGAAGAGACGCACACACTCACTCACACACACACACATACTGACCGAGAGAGGAGCCGATGCCGATAGCACCTGTCTGGACCCTCCCTTTTCCCCGTAGACCGTCCCGTGCCCTTCCGTAGCTCGTACATAGTAGATAAACTTCACCCCCTCCCCTCCTCTCGACGCCCTTTTTCTACCACTTCTCCACCGTACCTCATGCTCTTCAGACTGCGTCCTGTTGTCTCTATCGCCCGAAGCAGCTTTCCCCTACGACGATTCAACTCTGCAACCACAATGGCTTTCCTCGGCGCCGAGAAGAAACACAAGGTGACGGTGGTCGGCTCCGGTAACTGGTGAGCTCCAACGTCTCCCCCTCTATGCTGCGAGTGAACACCTGCTGACGGCTCGCACCCAGGGGCTCGACCATCTCCAAGATCGTCGCCGAAAACACAGCAGCCTACCCCGACCTCTTTGAACAAGACGTGCACATGTGGGTGTACGAAGAAGACGTCGTCCTCGACAAGACGTCTCCCTACTACGACGCCGCCATCGGCGACCAGCCCCAGAAGCTCACCGCCGTCATCAACAAGCATCACGAAAACACCAAATACCTGCCCGGCATCAAGCTCCCCCACAACATCATCGCGAACCCCTCCCTCCAGGATGCCGTCAGGGACTCCACCATCCTCATCTTTAACCTCCCCCACCAGTTCATCGCCAACGTCTGCAAGCAGCTGCGCGGCCACATCGTGCCCTTTGCCCGCGGCATCTCGTGCATCAAGGGCGTCAACGTCTCGGACGACGGTATCTCCCTCTTCTCCGAGTGGATCGGCGACGGCCTCGGCATCTACTGCGGCGCCCTCTCTGGTGCAAACATCGCCTCCGAGATCGCCGCCGAGAAGTGGTCCGAGACCACCGTTGCCTACGACCCGCCGCCCATGGACAACTCCCGCGCCCCGACCCCGCGCTCCACCTCCCCCAACACCAACGGCGGCGCCAACGGCAACGGCATCGTGCCCCTGACCCCCGTCGACATGCACCACAAGGACGCCCGCGGCCGCACCTCCAAGACCAAGCTCACCCCCGTCCCCGCAGAGTACCCGCCCCTCGACCACCAGATCTTCAAGCAGCTCTTCCACCGCCCCTACTTCCACGTCCGCATGGTCTCGGACGTCGCCGGCGTCTCCCTCGGCGGCGCTCTCAAGAACATCGTCGCGCTGGCGGCCGGCTTCGTCGACGGCCGCGGCTGGGGCGACAACGCCAAGGCCGCCATCATGCGCATCGGCCTGCTGGAGATGGTCAACTTTGGAAAGGAGTTCTTTGGCCAGACGGTGCACACGGGGACCTTTACCGAGGAGTCGGCCGGCGTCGCAGACCTGATCACGTCCTGCAGCGGTGGTCGCAACTTTAGGTGCGCCAAGATGGCTGTCGAGGAGGGCCTGAGTGTGCAGGAGGTCGAGAAGCGGGAGCTCAACGGCCAGATGCTGCAGGGTACGAGCACGGCGCAGGAGGTCAACAGTTTCCTCAAGGCGAGGGGCTTGGAGAAGAACTACCCGCTCTTCACGGCCGTGCACGGTATCCTCGAGGGCCGGTACAGCGTCGACGACATCCCGACCTTGGTGTCGGCGTCCGAGAACTAGGGCGGGAGGCGTGGGTGCGAGGTTGGAGACGTTACGACATCAAAAAGCATACGGGCGATACGGGACATTACTGCAGCTGATGCAAACGGGAGGCCGACGGCACGCCGGTGTGGCGGGACTGGAGTATGGGTTTTGGTTTCTGTACATGCACACTGATATCCCTGGATTGTTTACCACAGCGGCCTGGTGTGGAAAGGATTTAGACAGGTTAAGCAATGACGACATTGTTCTGGTCAATTTCGTGATCCGTGACACCCGAGAAAGCTACTGTACTTTAAACATGTGTGTGTTGTGGTGTGTCCGCTGTATAAGCCCCCTTGACGACTCAGTCCATATCCTCTAGCAGTCCCATTTTCTCCTCGTCAACACCCGCGCGCCGCCCCCTCCACGACCTCCGCCGCGGCATCTTCCCTTCGTCCTCGTCCTCGTCCTGCGTCCTCTCGCCGTCCCCGAACACGGGCTTCAACACGCCGTCGTACGTCATCCAGAGCAGGTTGAAGATGACGCCGAGCGTGACGCCGAGCCACAGCGGCACCTTGCCCTCCTTGTTGGCGATCCTCTTGTTGAGCCCGAAAATAACCAGCAGGATGGGGAGGAACAGGGCCGTCAGCAGCCACTGAGCGACCTGCTGCCGCCACGTCGTCACGGCGTAGGGCTGCAGGCTGTTGAGCCAGCGCTGGTAGTCGTCGGGCAGCTCGTGCTCGGCGGCGCCGTCGGTGATGAGCTTGAGGTAGCGCGCCGAGGGCTGGGCGTAGGCCGGGTCCGGGCGGCGGTTGGGCCGGATGAAGCGCCAGTACCACTTCTTGCGGGGGTCTTCGGGCTTCTTGGGGTCGTCGTTCGGCTCCTCGGGGTCGGCGTCCGGGATCGCGGGGGAGTAGAGCGTGTGCGCGAGGAACGGGCGGGGGATGTCGATGGGCGGCTTCTCGGGGACGGAGACGCGGGGCGGGAGGGGGATGCAGGGTGTGAGGATGTCGGTGTACGAGGAGCCGCCGCCCTCTGTTGCGACGATCGTGGCGTAGTCCTCGCGGGTGACCTCGTAGACGACGCCAAAGAGGCCCTTGTCCCAGCCCAGCTCGGAGGTTCTCGCCCCGCCGGCGGTGGTGGCGGACGTCGGGGGCTGGGGCGGCGGCGGGATGGGCGGGAACTTGGGCGGGTCGGACGGGTCCGGGAGCTTGGGCACCTTGCGCGGCGCCGAGTTGGCGAAGCACGGCTCGCGGTAGGGCAGGCCGGGGAGGTCGAAGACGAGGGAGAGCGACGGGGCCGAGACGTTCACCTGGGAGACGGGGCGGATGCCGCGGGCGCCGAGGAAAGTCTCGGCGCTGAGGTTGGAGCCGTAGGCGAGGTAGAGTATCGTGCTCTGGGCGGCATCGTCGTGGGAAGGGGCGTCTGGCAACGCCGCGGCCAGGCGCGAGGGGGAGGTCCGTGGGATGCTGGAGACGGGCGGATAGGACGGTTTCGAGGAGCGGGAGGAAGAGGCCGCGGTGGCGATTTTGCTGATGCGCTGGAGCAGGCAAACCGGCTCCTGGGGGAGCGAGGTCGTCATTTTTTCCGGCTTATCGGACGATGAACCGCGCCGCGCGGTGCGTCTGTTCGTCGTGGGAAGCTCGGTCGTTGAGAGCTTTACGAGTCGAGCTGATGTGGATCAGCGGACGGCTCGCAGCGGGGCGTCCGTCGATGTGCAGAAAGCTGGGATGATGCTGGACCGTAGACTCGGAATGGGATGATTGGGGGTGGGGGGAGCTGAGTGGTTGAGGAGCAGAATGCGAAACTGGTGAAGTCGGGTTGGGGAAGTTTTGTGTGTCGCTGCGTTTGGATGACGACGACGCTTTGGTCTCGGACCGCTGCGCGCTGCGGACGCCCGGCCGGCGGATTGGCGGAGTTGGCTTACATAACGGACGTGGAAGATGCGGGATTGATGGGGTCGGCGGAGGACGTGGACCGGGATCGCGACCGGGATTCGGTGTTGCTGACCTTGTGTAGGACGACGTACCTATTGATTTTGGATGCCCATTTGACTTCCTGTCTATTACCTGGCAGCCAGAAATGGGCTCCTGTTTTCTACATTTTTCTGTCACATTCCATTCCGACCTTGGCAGCTACCAAACAGTAAGATTAGATACTAAAGCTGGACTATTCCGACCTTGCCATGCCACACAATTCTCTGGACATACCCACCTCCTCTCATTTCCCCAGAGATTCCGTCGCTCAATTAGGCAGGGACGTCTTCTCTTGTGACTAGAACTAGAATGTGGAGACCAATGGTTGAACAAGTCCAGCGCACATTCCCTTAGGCAAATTTAGTACCACTGCCCCAACTTTTGGCAGCCAACCTTGCTCTACTCTCTTCAGTATCTTCAGTAGGCTACAGAAAGTGACCATCTGTGGACTTTGCAAGTAATGAGACTGGATTCCGATTGAAGGATTCTCCCGCCATTCTCCTTCTCCAGGGTTAGAACGATGCACTTACGCCCGCATGTCTCCCTATCGATAATCTTTTCGACGCCCTTACTCCTTCAGAACGTAATCCGAGAGAAGTCTTTCCCACTAATATGTACAACCTACCGCGCCAACCATCCGGAAAACCATGAACCAAAATCGAAGGTAGTGCTGGGCTGATGATTGCACCTTCGGCGGTATGGCAGTTTTCTGTAGCTCCTCCGTTCCAGGAAGAATCTATAGCATTTCCATATGCGCAGTAGCTGTGTTGTCTTTCCATGCACTCCTATCGCGTGTTTCTTGATCCTTATTCCCCCTGTGCGTATCGTCTCGCAAACCAACGCTCATCCCTGGTGTCCAACGACACTCAACCACCCCCGACTTATTGTCCGACTAGCTTCCAAGCCATGGAGCTATAGAAATTGATCGAGAGTCTCAGGAGCGTACTTATCTTACCGTATTTCCTCCTGTGTTGCCAATACGTCACGACTGAAGAAGCCCCCAGGGCATGTTCACAGAAGGCGACGGTGCCTCGCAACAGGTCCCTCAGGAACCCCCTTACCGAAGAGATAGGAGACGGTTGAGACCAAAGTGCCACGGGCCTCAATCTCACAGGGTGCATAATGATCAACAAGAAGCAAAACACAGCAACGGACAACACAGGCCGTACAGGTCGACAGGGAAGATGTAGCAGCGCCGGCTGTCCGACATTTTGCATTACCACAATACGTTCACGAACACATGCCCAAGTGTCCGGAGGGTCTCAACGGTATTCATTCCCGACGAGCACCAGCACTAAGAGAGATGGGTCTATTGTATCGTGTGAGAAGTGGAGCTTGCGCCATGCCCATGCCGAGAACAAATATGAACCAAAAAGGCATGTCAGCATGCGACCATTAACTCCGATTGCTTGCCCTTTGAGTCTACAGGTCGACATGATCAGCATGATGGCCCCGCAGGACCTCTGTTGTGACAATTATCACCCGCGACTTACGGGGCGCAGGATCAACCGGTCGTTTAAACCTAGCCGGTGAGGTACAATGCATCCTGTCCGGACCTGCCACCGCATCTTTTCCTGCTCTTTGCACGGGGAAACACAGCAAGTCAAGAAGTTTTACAGGAAATGGACTTCAAGCCATGTAACTCTAGGATAGACATTAGGATGTTTAGGGAGCTGGCACACCGATGGCCAGGAGTGAGACGATGAGAGCGTCAATCTGTAAATGGCATCAATTGTTCGTAAACATTCTATAAATTCAAGCAAGGCATATACTCCCTTGCTGGACAGGACAGATTGAGAGTATTAATCAGCCTTTGAAGCTATAAATGCACACCATACAACTTATCTAGCGAACGTGCCCTTAGGCAGTCGAGTATGCAACGGCCTCGTTCACGAACGAATACAGCCGACTGGATGGGCCGACGAGCCGCCAGTCACGGAAAGCAGCGTCGACAAGCCAAAATTGACTAATGAGAGGATACAGTCCGTGTTGACCATGTAAACATGGCGGGATCGAGATTAGAAGCGGAATAACTTTACAGTCCGTCGAGGATCACGGCCGAGCCGAAAAACAAAGCAACAACCAGTTTTCGGCGGGCCGCTTTTCTCTGCCACCATAGTTGGATAGACCTCGTCAAGGACTCCTTTCCCTTTGCCACAGTGACAGTGTTGTGTGTTGCTCATAAGGCGCTGGGTTGCGATTTGTGGCCATCACAAACATTGCCAGGTACGGTTCTTCCCAGTTCGTCTGTAGGGAACCCTGACAAGGCCCCCCGGAACACTGGACAATACGTTCGAGGCCGCCAGAGCAGCCACCGATTGACGGGTTGAACATTCGAAGACGGATGGAATTGGAAAACCACAGAGGACGAAGCTCATTCGCTACTTCGAAAATAATCTCTCTTCAACTGTCGGACAAGCAACCGCCATGAGCAAACCAAAACGCCTCGCCTGACCTTTGTCTTTTCTCGTTTTTCTCAAGTCTTATCGGCCCTTGCTCCCTTCCGTGGCACATGCAAACCCCTCACTCGATATGTCACTGAGTCTTTGAAACACACCTCTTTGCCGTCTCAAAAGCATAGGTAACCCGCCCTACTGAAAGCGCATGCTGATGCCCCTGCTTATGCTCTCCCCCGTCTCATCGGATCAACTTCAGTACCCGTAGTGGTAGCTCGGTTTGGTGATCAGGACGTCGTGGCTCGCGGGAGGATTAGCTAGAACCGGTGGGTACATCGTTGTTCGTTTCTCGTCCTCTCGACGTAGCCTGACCACAATGCCTCGCAGGCGTCATACAAATGCCCCTCTCTTATCGTGGAATAAAATACACTGCATGCCTTCATGGATATCGTATATCGAAAACAGTAAAATGAAACTGCCGGTGCGTAAGGCATGAACCAAACAGTCATCCTTATCATTGTCGTCGTCGTCGTCTCGTCGTCTCGTCGTCATCGTCAGAACTCGGCACTCTGCGGGTACGCCTGGTTCGTTTCGCGCGACACGCCGGAGGCGCGGGGGGAGGACCTATTACCGACTACTCGATTCGCGGGGGCGTCTTTGACGAGTACGGTGATGCGCTTCTCCTTTTCAAAAGAAGGGGTGTCAGGGAACCCTCTCGAGGCAAAAAAAATGAAACGCTCCCAAAGAACCAGAATACAATATCAAGACGACATGACATCGTCCACAAGGTTGGGGGGAGGGGGGGTTCTTTGGTGGAGGAATGAAGGAATGCGCTTACGATCTCCTCCTCTCGCCTTCCTTGCGTAGGCTCTCGATGATCTTGAGCATTTCTTTCCGTCCGCCGTGGCTGTCGATGAGCTTGTTGGCCATGCTCATGCTGACCTTTTCGCGCGCGTTTGCGCTGAGCAGGCGCTTGACGAGCAGGTGGCGCATGAGGATGCATACGAAGACGCCGCAGTCGCTGCCATTCTCTTGCTGCGGGGAGTCTTCCAAGTTGAGGTAGCGGAGCGGCCGGCCTAGGATCTCGGCCATCTTATGCGTAGCCAGGCGGCCCTCCGCGTAGTTTGCGCCGCCGAGGGAATCATAGTGGAACGCGACGCCATCGATCGCACTAACAAGCAGCAGGGACCAATGTGAGCCGCCCTCGGCCTGGGCTACGTTCCGGGCGTCGTTGATGGGGAGGAAGATGTGTGTTGTTTTGGAGAAGTCGGGGAGGGCGGAGCGGATTTGGCGCATGTCGGGTTCTTTCATGAGAAGGAAGGTCATCGACGGCCGCAGGAGACAGATGCGGGCTTGCGGGTACTTGGGGAGGATTTCGCGCTCCAGCCATCTGTGGTCATGTTAGGTAACCGAAGGGGGGGTAAGGGCGGTGGCCGAACTGACTCTTCCCAAAAGGCAATGTTCTAGAGAGGAGTTAGCTAGGAGGACCGGCGCAAAGGGGGGATGCGGTCGCACGTTGTCTGTTAGCCAGTCGTTCTTGAGCGCCTTGATGTCTTCGTAGGTGACTGTAGTGGCATGAGTAAGCAAAGTGCGACCCGGGAGCCGCGGAGCGCAAGACCGGGAGAGACGGATCAGTGCAACATTGTTGGGGGTACGTACGGAGGATATCGTGATCTGGAAATCAAAAACACAGTCAGTCGGGTGCGATCATAACGGGATTGGGATCATACCGCGCGAGCGGTATCGGATTGGAGAAGGGGGTGCGACTTACACGACAGGTAAGGTTGCTGCGGGGAGAGCTAAGACGCAATCCGGGTCAGTTCACTGGCACGGCGCTGAAACGGGACTATGCCCCCCAACTTGGTACCCCCGCCGCAACCGCCCTCAGCGCGACTCGAGCAGGACGGGCAAGACGAGAGGCATGTGCTTGACCGTCCGGCCGTCGTCCGACGTGAGAGAAGGAAAAGTACAAGACGTCGACGACCCCCTCTCTTTTCAGTGCGGCGGGTACGAAGAGGACGGACGGCAAGGCAAGCGGTGGGGAGCGCGCGAGGAAGGGTCTTACAGTGTCACCGAAGTGGCGCGCCATCTTCCTGAAAGGCATGCTCAGCCGCGACTCCGACCAGTGGCCGGACTTGGTGGTACTCGGGGGAGAGGTCGAGGGGGAGGAGAGCTGGGTAGCTGCTGCTGGCGATGCTGTCGGCGCTGATGCGGCGGAAGAGATGGAGGAGCTCGTTGATGTGGAGCCTGGCGAGCCGACGTCGCGGGGAGGCTGCGGGTGACGGGAGGAGCGGAAGGCGAGGAAGCGGCTGTTTTCGCGCAGAGTTGCGTCAGAGGATACTGTTCGAACAGACCGGTTCGAGGGCGGGCGACGATCCTTTCGGAGCGTTGTGTAATACGCGAATAGAGATAGGTGGGATACCAGGAGGGCAAACGAGAAACGGAGTGGAAAGAGTAAAAAGTTCTGGGAATGTAACCAGTTGGGGAAGGGAGGGATTGGGACGGATATTGGAGGGATGACGGCGGAAGGCGGGAAAAAAAGGCCAAAGCAAAAACGAAAGGCCTCTCTTCGAACGAGTCGGCTCCTTTTTTTTTTTTTTTCTCTCTTTCTCGCAGGGATTTTTTTTTATTTGAGCGGGGAGGAGGGTCTTCTCTGTTTCTGCAGTGCAGCTTCGGGATCTTCCCAGTCACAGGTCACCAGGCGGATGGATGGCGTGGTGGGGATTGGGAAACGGAGAGAGAGGGGAGCCGGGCAGAGAAAGATGTACAAGGGCCCAGAGAGGAATAGAAGAAGCTCGCAGGATGCAGGAAAGGTCTGGGCTGGAATTGGGCCTCCGCCGGCGGTGCATTTGCAGGACCGGCGTGCAGCTCGGATGACTGACTGAGTGAGAGTGAGGCTTGAACGGCGAGTCGAGTGACGAAGGGGGGAGACGTGGCCCGGGCGTGGCGCAGCCCAGCTCCAAGAGGGTGGGAGAGGGACGAGAAAGGGACGAAAAATGCGAGGTGACGAGGTTCAACAAGCCACAGTTGTGGGGCCCCGAGGAGCTGGGGCCACTTCCCTTGGGTAGTGATGTATTGTAGGTACCTAGCCCACGGTGTCTCCGGCTACCCACTGGGGCTGCTGGGGGAGAGAGAGGGGCCACTGCACCGCTGAACCTCTCCACTGGAAGGGGGCGGCACCGCAGGGGGTCAGGCGGCATGCGGCATGCGGCACGAGGGCCAAGGGACGGATTGACAGAGGCGAGACAAGAGAGTCGAACGAGAGAAGAATGAAGAGAGACAAAGTGAAGCATACCTGGGGTTGCTCAGGCGGTCTGAACCTGCGTGTGGGAGGCTGGCTGCTGGCTGCACGCCGACTGCCGCTGCCATCGTACGAGAGGAGAAACCGCCGGTCAAATCTGGGGAGATCCCAGGGGCTCGGTCGAGGGGTCGGGGGTAGTCGGGGGCTTTGAAGAAACAAGATTAAATGAGAATGCGAGGTCCAACGCAGCGGGAAAACGACGGCAATGGCGTTTGGGTATGTGCGTGAGGAAAGATGGCTCAAACGGACAGGACCTGGGGACAGAGGAAGCTGGGCGGGAGCACGCCGGTTTACATACAAGATGTCGGGGAGGGAGCAGCCAGCCATGGGCCGGCGACGGCTAGGCTCCCGATGGACGATCATCTACAATGGACGACAACATCTGGGGGAAGACAGCCAGGGAATAAGGTACGAGTCTCCGAGACCCCAGATCTGGAACATTGCGGAGGGCCGCTGTCCGATTGTGGTTCGAGCCTGTAACAATGACTGCGACGGGAGGCCAAACCTCTGCCAAACCTCCGCCAAACCTTCTCTCACCACCACCACTTGCACCACTTGCACCACTTGCACCATCGCTTTGCATCCATGAGTGTAGGTACACCGTGCTGCCGCAACCTCAACAGCCACGCCAGACAGGGCCTTTGGTCGGGCGCCAAGAGACGATGGGGAGAGGCAAGAGTACGGATCAGGTTTCACCTCGTCTACGTCACCTCGCTCGCGGCATTACAATACCTAGGTACCGAGCGATACCACCCACCCAAGGCACTTGCCGCCTGAACATGCAGCCACTCAGTGACCATCTGCGGCTCGATGCCAACCGTCGACGACGCCAGGCCGCTCTGAGACTGGGTTAGGCTGAGACCACCCCCAAACGCCGCAGTCTCCAGCACTTTCTAGGCGTGCCGCTGACGGCAGCTGCGTCCTCTGCCCATCATCAGTCCGTTATCGGCTGGGCGGCCACGGCCTGCCTGCTCAAGGCTTGTGAAAGTTTAGATTGAGGGGAGATGGCTGTGTGATCAGGGAACAACGGGGATGAGACGTGGGGAACCCGCATCGGCGTCTGCCGAGGTGGGATTGCCCGATCCAGGCAAGCTGTGTCTTTACCCACCAACCATAGCGTCGAGGACCTCATCCGTAGGGCCGCCCGGCGGCAGTTGGCAGGGACCCGTACATTAATTGAGTTTCCCACCCGCATCGGCGTCTGCCGAGGTGGGATTGCCCGATCCAGGCAAGCTGTGTCTTTACCCACCAACCATAGCGTCGAGGACCTCATCCGTAGGGCCGCCCGGCGGCAGTTGGCAGGGACCCGTACATTAATTGAGTTTCCCACCCGCGTATAGTACACCAGCGCTCGCGAGCTTGTAAGTGACATGGAAGCCTGCGCGTGGGCTGCGGGTGAGAATTCTGAGACCTGCTGTGAGGGTGCAGAATTGACTTTGCAAATGATCCGGTTGTGTCCTGCACTGCCGGGGAAGATGAGTCTGAGAGTGACCGAGTAATTCATCCAACTCCTTATCCCCCCGTCCGGAATGTACCGGCTCCAAGCCCGGGTGCTGGACAAAACACGCTTGACAGCAATGCAACCCTTCAATCCACTTATTTCATTGATCAGAAATCCGAACTTCTCATTGGGCTACCTATATAAGACGAAGAGTCTATGTCACCCATCAATCATGTCTCATGTCCTCCTGCTGTGCCTATCGTACATTGTCGAAATTCCGTTCTGGTGATTGTCCTTGAATTTGGGAGTCATTTGTAACAACTCAGTTGGAACCACCAGAAAGACCGCCCTTGCGTCCCGCCTCACGCGCCCTCTCGGAACCGGGCTCGAAAGAGCCTGACGACGCCTTGCCGCCCTCGGACGCGATCTCGCGCTGCTTGTCCGCGTCCATGCTGGCGAAGCCACCGTTGTGGCTGGCGTGACCGCCCTTGGCTGCGATCTCCTGGACCTCTTCCTTGGGACTGAAGGATTCGTTAATAACAATTCAAACAGTAACAACTGCGCCTGGACGCGTCTTAGGGACGCGGGTAATGAGCTTACCGGTTGGCAAAGTTGCCGGGGTTGGTGTTGCCGGTGCCTGAAGAGTGGGTGCCGGAGGACTGGTTCTCAGTGCCACTGCCGCCGCTGTGGCTGGCATGTCCGCCCTTGGCCGCGATCTTACGGACCTCTTCGGTGGGGCTACATATTGTCAGCACTGTACTACGATAAGGTAATAACCCTGCCGGGGGACAAGGTATCATACCGGTTGGCAAAGTTCCCGGGGTTGTTGTCAGCCATGTTGAAGATGTGTGGTGGTTGATTCTAAGTTGTGAGGTGTAAGTTGAAGTGATGGACTAATGTCTTGCGTCTTGATGAAGGTCGAGGCTACTTTGTTGATGAAGGAGAAAGAGCGATGCGATAGAAACGGGAGGATTGAGAGGTTTATATCCATTGACCAGATCCAAATCTAGGAAAGGAAAGAGCAGGCCGTTGTTGCCCGCCTGGGTACACAGTTCCTTCCCTCGGTGACGTGGAGATTAGGCAAGCATGGGCGCTCCCCGCCTTGTCGCCCTGAAGATCCTCGCTTGCTGACCCGGGAATGACGGTGAAGCAGACGCATCTACCCCAACTACTCCATGAATAACTTCACTGTTTTGCTATCAACATACGCCGAGCGTTGTGCAAGACGTAAACCCTCAATGTATTGCCGCAACGACTGGGGTACAACCGACGCAGCGGCATCTATGGCCTAAGCTGACATCACCACGCCGTCAACCCGCCGATATATCCACAAAACCTATCCGTCGTTCCAGACTTCATGAGTCGACCAAGTCATCAAATCACGTAACGACCGCTTGGAGCACGGTGAATGGATCGTTTCTTCTTCCATTGCACTTTCTTCTCCCGCCTTGCTGTTTTAATGCGTTTGCAAGCTGGAGGGCCGATGTGATGACGTCGGCTCGATGGATCTCCAGTATTCGGAGCGCCTATTTGTTGCCTTTGAAAGACACTAGACCAGCATCCCTGCGCATGTTAAACGAAGCGAGATCTGTGCAGCCGGCAAGTAACACGAGGAATGCCGTTCGATGTCCTTCAGCGAGATCTCATCCCGCAACGCCTGAGAGCTAGCATAATTGAAGGTCGTCGGCAGAGTCTACGGATGCAACAGCTCTCCAGAACCACGCGAGCAAAGGCTGCACGGGGTCCACACGTAACGACATCGGGTCCGTAAACCGGCAACCCTATCGGTCCCCCGTCCCGGGGCAAACTCTCCGACCCTGGCCGCCAACCCACCGGTACCCCCGATCTCCACCAGCACCACGATGGGAACAACCACCCAACGCATCTCAGTCTTATTTGTTGTTTGCCTAGGGGAATGCCCCAAAAAGACAACGAGGTGAAAGATAATGGCAAAAAGTTCGGCCGACTATATGGAAGGGAATGTCTCTCTAGGGCAGCCTTCACAGGCAAACTTCGACTATGCTGCCAGTGTATGTGTGCGAGTATAATTTCATTTAGAAGACAGATAATGGAAGGTATGTCACTGGAGAAGAATGTAAATACGGAGAAAAAGAGACTTGGTAGCCATAAGTAGCAGAAGACGATTGCGGTCTAAAACGGCGTGCGGACCCGAATCACCATTACAGCTTCTCATAGTGCTTGGTGACCGATATCGCTCTCGGCCAAGTTCGCCAAGGCTACATCATCGTGAGAAGAGTTACCCTGCAACTCGATGAGCAATTCTACAATGGTGGACCACACATGGAGGTCCGGAAAAGCAACGACATTGACATGGCAAATGCATAAGCTACGCTTCTGAAGATTTCTTTTCGGCGCTTGGCAGATGCTTACAGAGGCCTTATAGATCAACGAATACGATGGACCGAGAAAGAGATGTGTAATATATGTGTATCACAAAGAAAATACCATGATGTGGCTAACTCTTTAGTGTTGATGATCAGACGTTCCCGTTTTCGATACTGATCAGCCCTGGCATCCGGCAGTTTTCACATTCCGTCATTGCTCCACGGTTTCTGTTCCTGATCCCCGTCCCTCGACCCCTTGTAGGTGCCACTGACGAGCCCTGTGGGTTGACCAGCTTTCATGGCTGGATTTGACGAGCTGACCGATGATTTGCCGCTCGTTCTCCCTTTCTGACCTCGAGAAGTGACAGAACCCCAAGATATGTGTGTTGTCGCCCAGCCTTTGCGTCGCCGAATCAGATAATGTCCCGATATCTGGATCGTCTGCCACGAGATTAGCAGCGGCTTGTTCTCCGTCCTCGTTCAGAAACCATCGTGGATGTGGCGCTAAGAATCAGGGTGATTTGAGCTGCCCTCTGATGATCCGTCATGCAAGGCTTGGTGGGATACCAAGTCGGTTGTGCGGGATGTTATGCGCTTGCAGAGTTGGTGTCTCCATCGGCAAACATGAAGAGTCATGCGTAGTGTTACCGACAGAGAAGCTTGTTTCTTGACCTTTCGGAATAGATCGAGATCGGGTAGTGTCGGTGCCCCACGGAAGACGCGTGGGCATACCAAGATGGGAGCTTAGATGCTGCGCCCATTTATGGGTCGGATTGTCGTCCAAAATCTCGTTTGGCTGTTCCACGGTGCGTAGGTACAGCAGTTTCTAATCCCAACATCCTCAAGTTGGAATGTACGCTGCGTGGTGGCTTATGCGCTGAAAGCGGGGTTTTGCTCCATGGTGCTCGAAATGTGCTTTCTCAACGCGGCCCACCGGTTCGCCGTCGCATTAGGCGTCGCCTCCTCAGCCTCTGCGGTCGCCGACTTCTCCACCGCCATCGAGCCTGCAGGCGCAGCCGCCGCCGCAGCAGGCACGGAGGCCAACGCGGCCATACTTGCGCCGAACCGCTGCATCTCGCCCCTCACAACCTTCTCCTTGCGCTTCAGCGCGCCGGGTCTGCTCTTCAGACTCTTGTGGCGCACTTTGCCCTCACGAAGCTGCTCCAGCGTCTGCGCGTTCTCGTCGAGGTCCGGAAGGGCGTCGGCGAGGGATTCCATCGTGGTGACGAGCTTCTTGTTCGGGCGGCGGCGCTTGAGGGGCTTCTTGTTGGCCTTCTCGACCTTGCTGACAAAAGCACTGTGTTTCATCGTGCGCTTGTCCTTCTTGTTCGTCAGAAAGCTGTCGTCGACCTTAGCCTCGGGGCGGAGCGTCTTGTGCGGCGCAAGGGGGTGGATGTCGCCGCGGATTCGGGCCATCCGCTTCTCGCGGGCCGAGAGGGTCTTTGTCGGTGCGGTGGGCGCCTGGAGAGGTCAGCATTGTGCAGTCACAATGGGATCGCAACAGCATTACCATTCTGAGTCTAATCGCTTGGGAGGCCGATAAAGTGGCTTGGCTGGGCGATCTCGAGCGTTGGATTTCGTGCACAAAGAAACGTGGGATGCGAAAGTGCCGGTGAAGTTTGAAGATGCCCAAGCTTCAAAAATTCCATGGTGGGGCGTGGACGAGAGCGGGTCTTTCGAATCGTGGGGTCGGAGGTCGGTGGCGCAACCTCCGACTTGCACAAAGCTCTCCCAGACCCCCGCGCATGACACTTATTCATCCCACTTACACCAAACCACGATCCTGACGAGAAGATGGGGAAAATCGAGGACTTGCGGCGAAGAGTCGCCGAGACGACCCTCGAACTCCAGCATTTGAATCAAGAGCTTGAACAGGCCGAGAGGGAAGCGCAAGAAGCCCAGAATGCGCCGGCGCAACCCTGGAAATGGCCCCTGCAGCCCGAGGACTATGAGAGATATGGGCGACAGTTGATCATCCCCAATGTTGGAATAACAGGTAGGCTTCTGCGTTCATATTGAGGACCGAATATCACACTAAACAGAAGCAGGTCAACTGAGGTTGAAGGAGTCCAAGATTCTCATTGTCGGCGCTGGGGACTGGGATGCCCCGCAGCGGCTTACATCGCTGGAGCAGGGGCTGGCACCATTGGGCTTGTCGATGGCGATGTAGTTGAGGTTTCCAATCTCCACCGCCAGATTGCGCACTCATCTGACAGGGTTGGCGTGCCCAAGGTTGAGAGCGCCATCACATACTTGAAGGGGTATGTTTGCCCCAACCCCGCAACACTCGCTTCTGAACTTATAATCCCATAGTCTGAATCCGCTCGTGGCGTATCGTGCGCACAATGAGCATTTGACGCCTTTGAACGCCGAGGACATTGTCTCGCAGTACGATATTGTCCTCGACTGTACTGACCACCCGACTTCCCGCTATCTCATCTCAGATATTTGTGTCCTCCTCCAGAAACCCCTCGTCTCGGCTTCGGCCTTCCGAACGGACGGCCAGCTCATCATCTTGAACTCGCCCGCCGCGCCCCAAGGAGGCTTGGAGGGCGGGCCGTGCTACCGCTGCGTCTTCCCGAAACCGCCTCCACCTGACAGCGTTGTCAGCTGTGGCGAGGGAGGAATTCTCGGGCCCGTTGTTGGCGTCATGGGTGTGCTGCAAGCTCTTGAGGCTATCAAGCTCGTCGCTTCAGGGGCTGTGGACCCTAAAGTCAAGGAGAAGGAGGCAGCTGCTCCGTCCCTCCTCATCTTTTCGGGGGCAGCGCCGTCAGGGCCGTTTAGGTCCGTCAGGATGCGCGGTCGGAGAAAAGATTGCTTCGCGTGCTCTCCTACTTCAACCCTATCTCTGGAGACTCTGCGATCGGGCTCACTCGATTACATCTCTTTCTGCGGTGTCAGTGCACCGGTCAGCGTTCTGGGACCCGACGAGCGTATTTCAGCAGCCCAGTACGAGCGCACAACCAAAGAAAATGGCGGATGCCATCTCCTGCTCGACGTGAGAGAACGGGAGAATTTCGATATCTGCAGCATCGAGGGCGCCATCAACATTCCTATCGCAAAGTTTATGAAGGAAACCCAGCCATCAAGCGACGGCACTCGGCCACGGCCAGAATGGTTGCCTGCCAATTTCCCAGATGACGCGCCCATCTACCTCGTCTGTAGAGTTGGCAACGACTCACAGATTGCGACAAAGCGCCTCAAGGACTTGGACCTGGATAATAACGGCAAGAGGTTCATCGGCGACATTGAGGGCGGCATGAAAGCCTGGAAACACCAAGTAGACCCTACGTTGCCCTTCACCTGAGCAATAGCAGCAGAAGCCAGGAGAATTTGATATGGAATCTGAATTTGTTCTGACGATGGGGGCTGTGTCGTCATGATACATACTTTCCCCACCGATACCCTATTGCTACAAAGAGAGGAGGGCGACCTACGCCACTAGCCATGATCCTGATTAACCTTACGAGGAAGAAGTCGTTCGTTGAAGAGCCGCAATGGGTGATTAATGTTCTACACGAAGCTGACACGCTTCTTGTTGAAGGCCCGCTGGTCCTTGAGCCATTGACGGTAACCCTTGACGCTGGAGATCTTCTCTCCGTAAAAGTCGGGAACTGCTCAGACGGTTAATACATAACCTGTGAAGGCCGTTAGTGAGCTTGACTTACCCGGGTTACCAACGGAAGACACGGAAGGGTCGACACGGTTCTTCTTGATACGAGCGAAGAACTCCCTCTCCTTCTGTAACATCAAACGAATCAGTATCCGAACAAGATCGTATGGTCCAGATATCATGACTTACAATTGTCATCTGGTTCTTCCACCTCTTGTTCAGCGTGTAGAAGACAAGAGACCCCACACTAGGTCCAACCAGCCATCCCAATGCACCGAAAGCCATCGTCATCATACCCATCGTGATGAAAGGGTCCAGAGGAACCTGTGTGACCAACGGATCCGCAACGCCAGTCGCCAGGAGACCGGCGCCGCCCACGAACGAGCCCAAGCCGGAGATGACGCTGAAGCCTAGCTGCCACCTCCTGCGGGACTTTCGCAGCTGGAAGAACGTCTCCCAGTCTAGCTTGTCCCCGGGCGCAGCGGCTGACTTTTGTTGCGCCGCGATCGCGGCCGTAGCGTTGCACCGGTGGGAGCAGGGCTGGCGAACGACGCGGGTAACGATCGAAGACGGAGAGGAGGCGGCGGCGGCAAAGGCTGCGCTGGCGCGGGCAATCGAGCTCGTGGGGGCGAGGCCAATTGGACGGGCAGAGGGCTGCTGCTTCTTCATCGAGGCGGTCGAGTACGGGCATGCGGTGGTGCGGGCGATGGAAGAGGCGATCGATGCGCGGGCGGCGCCCTGGCCGGCGAGGCGGAGGGCGAAGGTGCTCGTGGGCGTCAGCATGGTTGCGTGACCTTGTTGAAAGATATTAAACGTGTCGGACGGCCGTGAGCATCAACCGGACGTGAGGCTTTGTTGGAGTGGAGGTTTTTCTTGTGGCTGTGTTCGAAGAAATGGGAAACGGGCTTGAGCTGGGGTGGATGGAGCTCGCGATGAGGTCAAGCTCAGTCCGCCAAAGATTTGTCGCCTTACAATGATGGTGCGCAGTGCGCTCGGCCGCAGCTCCCGCACGGACCGCCCCGCAGCACCTGCTCAGCAGCAGACATCGCATGATCCGGCTTTTGGCTGGTGAGGCTAACACCAGGAAATAATTAGGAAGCTCCAGAGTGGCATAATTATTTCCATAACCATCCACCGACAGACTTAACACTGCTATTCAACCCAAAACACTCAAGTAAAACGAAGAGATAGCTTATGTTGATTCTCTGTTTTTTATAGTTAATTTCAATAGCATGATTACTGTTAATTACCAGGTCTTTGAGATATATTGTATACTTGAAATTTCTTTTACCACAGCCCTCTATTAGGGGTCTTGAGAATAGTAGCACCTTTGGCTTGTGCCTCAATGTACCATTACAGCACTTAACAGCGTGGAGCGACTGCTGGTCCAACCCTCAGTTCACCGTAGCCAGCGAGAGCATCAGCCACATCCTTGACAGCGATGGCTTCGTTGAACCTACCACCAAGGTCGTAAAAACCTTGCAGCTTGAGTCACGCTGAACGAAAATAGCTTCACCCAAGGACCTTCATAAACCGTGCATATTGTATATCAATGCAGACCTCTTGTAAAGTTGGAAATGAATATCAATCCTATATTAATATGGGTTTAAATCAGTTTACTCTTAGAAAATCCTCTGCTTCTCAACAAAAGCCATACATTTATGAAGTAGTAATATCAAACGTTATTATAGTTCATATTAAGATTGTTTACGCAGGCTCTCAAAGTCGGTTTCTAGACTTATTTATCTAAAGGAGGGCACTTTAACTTGCTTTAATCGACTTAACGGCCTTCTGAAAACGCTAATTAAACCACTAAAGCTGCTAGGTTCCCTTCCTCCTTCCCCCCACAAAGCCACTGGCCAACCACGAGAACAACGCCTCTCAACGGCTTCACGGGCTCCCAAAAACAAATTGCGACATGTCAGTCTCTCAGAAATGTCCTCCAAAGTGGCTGTTTACGTATATCTGACGTTCGCAGACCATAGCGTTGACGTTATTCTAGAGGTCTTGACTGCAGGGACTGACAGATCGCGACACGCGACAACACAAGCTCCCAACCGCGAAACCCTTTGACCTCAGCCGACACCGGCGACGAATTCGACACTTCCAACCCAACCTCTCCGAGGCAGTCTGCCACCACAACGCCGGCACCTGCCAGCCGTGGCATGGTGATCTCTCCTCAGGGAGCGGACAGCCATGTCGCGCCCCTCGAGGTTGGTCTGGTTCGGCAGACCTACCCCGGGCGGTAGCACCAGCACTAGCACCAGCAACATTTCCAGCCGTCACCCCAAAACTCCAGGCTTGCGCGAGCTCGCCGTGGTTTTCGAGGACATACCAACCTACCGACGCTACAAGCCTGGCACCGGTCCGCGACTGGCCCCGATAACCCTCCTCCCAGTGCGTGACACGACCGCCTATATCCGCGACGAGTTCTTCGTTCCGCCCGCGCTCTCCGTCGACGGTAAGAAGCGTCTACAGTACGTCGTGGGCTGGACCGACCTTCCCGCAGCACGGCTCCAGGTCGACGCCCAAAGGATATGCGACTACGTTTCGCCGATGGCGTACGAGGAGTGGTGCGCCGCGCGCGCTGCCGAGCGGGATGAGGGGGAGCGCAGGATCGAGGAGGACGAGAATGTGCGCGCTGTAGAGAGGGCCGAGGCGGGAAAGAGGAGGATCGATAAGAGCACCGGGCTCAGGGGTCCTAGGGGGAGGAAAAGGAAGGTTCCAGTTGCGATCGAGGCGAGAACTCCACCGCCCGCAACCGCGCCGCCGAATGCGAATGAGGAGAAGAAGAAGCCAGGTCGGCCGAGGAAGGACGCGCCGTCGCTATCTACGCCGTCGAAGAGCAAAATACTAGAGGATTTTGAAGGGTTGGATGTGGAGGGCGACGTCGATATGGAAGAGGCAATATTCCGGCAGCTGAACGGGGAGGAGCCGATATCGACCGAAGGATCATATGACTCTGGCGAAGGGAGCAGTGTGCCGGCGAGATTGGAACCCTCGGCGAAGAAGCGAAGGACAAAGTCGCCAAGACCAACGCTATCAAGATTGATATCAGGCATAGAGACGGACAGCAGCAGGAGTACGCCCTTTGACTCTTCCAGAGGAGGCACCAGCTCGCCAGCATTACCGCCATTACCTCAACCTAGCGCTGCTTCACGAGCGGCTCGGCGGCAGGAAACCCCTATTCTGCCGCCTATACCTCCGGCCTCCGTTCCTCAGACGTCAACGCCCATCGCTCCGCGGACCAAGACACACCTACAAAAGCCGTCTCTCCTGTCAATACGAGATCCTCCGTCCACGCCTCCGAAACCGCCAGTGAAAGCCGAGACTTCGACCCCCAAACCTACAAAGTTCCCGCCACCAGCACCTTCAACCGCACCACCAAAAGTCAACTCGCCCTCATATGGCTCTGGGAAGACGTATACCCCACCACATCGGACAGGCTTCACACCGCTGATCCAAGGCACGACACCATGGACCATCTCCCTCGCAGCCTCGGCAGTCTCCAAACAGCTTGCCAATCTCACGCCTTCACAACCCATCCAGTCCATCGAAAACGCATCTTCCTCAACACCGGAGCCGGGGTTACCCAAACCAGCCACACGCAATCGCAGGTCACCTCCCGAAGAAAGCTACTCTGCACCGCCCGCCACAACCGCCGGCAGTAAACAGGCGGTCGCGAAGACCCTTCCCGCCCAAGGAGACCAAGACGACATCGAAGAAGATAACATATACGAGGTTCTCCGCCTAGAAGGTGTGCAAGAACGTATCGTCCGCGGCAAACGCGTGCGCTTCTTTCACGTCCGCTGGAAGGGTACCTGGCCGCCCGGCCAGAACCCAACCTGGGAGCCCGAAGCCAACATCCCCCGGTCCCTCATCAAGAAGTACCTGCTTGCGCATCCACAGCCGCAGCAGCAGACGGGGGCGATGGAAAAGTATCTCGTCCCGTCGTGGCCGCATCGGAAGTATTCGTCTGTTTCGGAGGCGTTCGAGGGAGGTGACACAGATGCCGCGGCCGGCGGGGATGGTAACATCCACGACGGCGAGGAGGCGGTCGAGGACGGCAATGCCGAAGAGAATAGCGGAGATGAGCTGCTGCTTGTTACGGACGAGCCGTCTCAACCCGTCAAGCCGACGATTTCTTGGTAATTGAGCCTTTCTTATGACGGGCACGGGGCCCTGTCACGGACTTTGACGACTGGGGTTTTGGGGATCTAGGACTAGCAGGAGAATCGTTTACAGCGTCTTTGTAGAGTCCATCTTGGAGGTACCTAAGCTATCCTTGGACTAGAGGGTGCATTCCCATCTACGTGAGCGGCGGGGACGGTGTGGACCACGGAGCGTTCGTCTCCAGGGGTGCTGGGACAACCACACTGAAGTCGGTAGAATGCCGCCAGAGGCTGCGTTACTAAAACCAAACAGATAATCAAAAATGAAAACAAACTTCAAATGAGATGAATCGTTCTTGGCTGGATAAAGCCAGTAGCTAGATGAGGTCTGGTTTCACACTGACAATCGTCGAACGGGTTCAGAGTAAAAGAAATTCCAATCTATCGCGCTGGCTGTGCATATACCATTGGCTTTTCGTTTCATTCCGGCGCCTCTGTACCACGCAAAAGCCAATTTCTCAGATTCATACGCTCCCATTGACGACGGCTCCCCAAATCCATCCATTCATGCACCAATACCCCTCTACTAGAAGGGAGCCTGACCGACTTGAGGCTTTTTTCTCGACGACTTGACCGTGTCTCTGGTCATTTTGGCCGCAAGCCTGTTGAATACGGGCTTTGAGATGCCGTGAACTCCCTCAAAGTCCTCGCCCACAATGGAGTAAGGGCCAGGAGATGAAGGAACTGAAGTAGTTGTTTGACCTCTAAGTACCATGTCGCGCGAAGCACACCCTGAACGGGTATCTGTCACCAGGTTGCTCATGTCTGGGTCGCGTTCCAAGAGAGAAGGGGCGGCCATACCAGAGTTGCTTCCAATCTGGTTGTGATAAACGCCGGCGGGTACATGGTCCGAAGGGTTGTCGAACGTTACTGAAAGCCTCGCCAAATCGGAGAGCAAGCGTGGTGTTGGGGTGATAGTTTTGGCTGCCGTTGACTCGTCGGCAAGTTCGCTCGAAGGAAAAATCAGCGACTGCTCAGCGTCTCCTTGTAGTCCGCCATCGTCGACGATAACCTGTCGGCATTCTTGTCAGTACCCTTCTCCTCACGTCCCACTCTCTCCGCCTTGATTTTCAAGTAAAGATTCACCTTGCGACGATCGACCCAACCCGTCACTTCGTACAGGAGGTCCGCATTTTTCTGGGTGTATGGATGGGGGCTGTCGATGTTATAGTGCTCCCATGCCTTCCATGATTCAAGTTGGCCCATAGCCCATCCTCCATGATACCACACTTGGATGGCCCCAGATTCGCGGTCTCTGCGGTGAAGTACCTCCTTCTGTTGATCAGGGTCGTATGCCATATACTTGACGGCGTTGTCCCAGTCGGCCGTCTTCTCCCATACAATGCTCTTGCGGTCGATCATATCCTTGAGACCCACAGTGTCCGAGTCACTGGGGTCACATCCTTCAAACATCCGTTCTCGAAGGTGATCCTCTTCGGCGTCACGCTCCTCGATGGTCATGAAGAGCCGCGCGTTCTCGGAAGCCAGGTTGTGAAAGTGAACGGTTGAGTGAATAGGCAGGAAAGGCTCTTGGAGATCTTCCCAAGGTGCATCACATGGATCAGGCCTGAAGGTCACACCCCGTCCGTCAGCAGGTCCGGTCCAAAGGCTCGATTCAAGGATGCATTTGCGAACGAGGATGGCTGTCTTGAGACTAGAAAACGATATCTCGAAACTTCCATCGTCAGAATAGGCCAAGTGAGTGATGACGTCGGTGAAGTTGTGCGCCAAGCCCACGTCCTTGAGAATGGCCTCGAGATGCATGACTGGAAAACCAGCAACAGCAAGACAGCGTGTGGAGCCCTCATCGATCCAGGCCTGCATACTCTGGTTCAGAGGGTACGAATCTGTGGCTGGAAGGCTGGTGCGAACTCTAGCCAGGGTGCCATCCTGGTTGATGAATCCAAAGTCGCGAGAACAGGAAAATCGGCAGAACTCCGAAGCATCTTTCGTCGAGGTAAATTCAATGTAGGCATGGTTGTAGCTGAAATCGCCGGTTCCCATCGGAGCCGTGTGGGCGTTGAAAATTCGACCACCTCGGATATGCTCCAAGACTCGCTGGACGTGAACCTCGTCCGGAAGACCGGTCATGATGACAACACGAGAGGCTATATCTGGAACTTCGTCATTGACAGTTAGTGTTTGGTCGCTTTGATTTCGCACGTAGCGAATGCCGTAGAGGAACATACCCGGGGTCTGCGAGGGTTGGCGAGCCCCGATAGACCCTTGGTAATTACGTAGAGCTCGCTCTCTTTGAAGAGCAGATTCCCATATGTCATCGCAGTCAGTACTCCAATTGAGAGCGTCATCTTTGGCATTGTGAGAACCTCGCAATTGAAAAGTTTCGGCGCAGAGAAGTCTTGGCCTCACCGATACCTGGGGCAAAACTTGCTGCAGAGCCTTGTGCGAATAATGTTGGTCACACTCTAGATGATTAGACTTGGAGACTGCGACTTGTAATCCCGGCTCTGATCGAACGTCCAGAAAACAAGTTGCGTTTTCCGTGGGATCGCTCTGCCTGGGCTCAGGAGCTGCAGTCGTGGACAGTGACATCTCGTCGAAGGATATGAGAGGCTCTACTTCGCCATTTTCGGTGACATTGTTGCCTCGCATTGCACTGTAAGTAGAAATTCCAATAGCGTTGAAGGCGGCAGTGTGCTGGGGATGGTTAGCAACAAAGCCGCGGATGTATGCTTCGTACATCTTGTTCCGCTCCACGGCATTGAGCAGACCTGTCTGAAGCTCCTGCAACCGACTCTGAAGAGGCTCTTGGCTTTGCAGTACCCTGTCATACTTTGACCTGAACTCTCTTAACTGTGTTTTGTTGTAGTCGAGATCTTCATTCAACTTATTCAAGAACTCCTGATCCAGCTTGCTATGTTCGCTGATTTCAGAAGAGTAATTCTGGGCTCGGCGTCTGAGAAGCTCAGCCTTAGACAGCTGTCCACTTAGCTTCTCTATGGTGGCATTGCTCTTGTCGGTTCTGTGCCTCAAAGCCTCATTGAGGGTGTCAAGGTGGTCGTTCTTGCGCTTCAGTGTGTCGTAATCATGCTCGAGCTGCTTGATGCGGGCTTGAAGAGACGTTATCAGGTCATCTGACGAGCAGAGGCTTTGGCGAGCATCGACATAGGATGAAGGCGAGGAGCTCGATGGTGATGCTTGACCTCCAGGGGCGGGCCAGCTGTGGTGAATATTAGTGTTCAAGTTCGAAAAAACAGAGAAACGTTGCGTAGACCAGACAGTCATGACTTACGAGCAACTGGGCGTGAACGCAGCTGATGTAGGATCTAGGTTGCTTTCGCTCACCGCCTGCGGATGAAGGTCAAGGGTAAGTGACTCAATTTCCCTGAAGGCAGTTTTGGTTCCCTGTAAGTCAGATACTTGACCCATGACATCAGTGAGCTTCTCCGTCAGTTCGCTGTCATCAGGGATATCGTCGTTCTCGGATGAGTCAAAGTCAATGAGGTTTGGAGAACCAGAATGAGTTAGGATCGTAGAAGCTTGAGCAGGCGCATCAAAGCTGCCAGTGTTGCCTTCGTCGTCGTCAGTCCAACCATCGTCGGTAGACACGTAGACAGTGGATCCGCCATCGTCTTGTTGCTGGCCCAAGATACGGCCAGGGAAGTAGGAATCGATTCTGTCGACCATTGTTAAACGCTTCCACGCTACCTAGATTGGTACGCGGTGAAGTGGATGAGTGAACAGATCAAGTGTATTGACCAAAGGCTTCCACTATTTCGGTGGAAAGTACTGCAAAACAAAATATGTTAGTTGTGGGCAATGTTATCGGAGGAACGCAGGGAACGAGATATGAGGCAGTAGATAATGCAAGTAGGAGCGTTCCTGAGTACGGGTTCTAGTTTGTTGAAGAAACCCTTACAAGTCAGCGATTTCCTCTGCCAACCTGTGCAGGATTGGGTCCTCGAGGATTGGGTGAGGGGAGTTGAGAGGGGAGAAGTTGAGACTCCGCGGATGAGGTAAAAGGTATGGTTTCTCTCTGGCCCAGTGTCGTTCCTGCCAAAAAGTAAGTGTCAGAGATGTGGAAGGAGAGACAACGTCCCAGGCAAGAATAGGCGGGGCTGAATGGGAACGGAACGAGCCGAAGCAGGAGTAACTACCCCAGACAATGTCGAAAACATTGAGGTGACCTTGAATTTGCGAAAGTGCCTCTTGAACAAATGGTGCACATATGGCACAGCTTCAGGTGTAGTAAAAATCGTAATGGTTGAACAATCATTGGACAATTAGGGGGTTCAGTAGTATGGTTAGTGAACTTGAATCTTACCTGATTAAACTCCTTTTGCTCTATAATCTTGATTTCAAGAGTGTCGAAGCGATGAAACGCAGCTTGATGAGGTTGGTCGGTATCAAGTCAAGAGCTAGCGATTAGTCCCCGGGAATTGAAGGCACTTCTAAAGCTGTGTATGATATTTGAGGTACGCTGATACCAATTGTTAAGGATGAGGATGGAGAAAGACAATGATGAGTTGAAGGTTAAGATTAAGACGCATGAGGGAGATGGAGAGAAAGGGATTTGAGGCATTAGAAGGCTGAGTTTCAATATTATCTAGGAGGCGAAGTCTCGAAGTCTAGGCAAAGGTTTCGTTTATATGGGGCACATGGTCTGCATTTGTGAGGGCAGGTGCACTGTATCAAGATACGGCGAGAGCCCAGGAAAAGTATTCATCTTGGGAAGGTGAGTCTAAGCATGTGGGTTTGGCGAAGGCTCTGGGGTAAGACATTCCGGAAATTGAGCTCAAAACGATGTAGGAATGACAAGAGCCCCGTAATAGGCATTGGCTTGAGAAAGCGGGTGCAAAACTCAACAATAGCGAGAACATCCGAAAAAGATATCTTTGAAGGCAGAAATAAAGGGGAGATGCACAGTGACAGTTCCCAACAAGAATTCATCTGGAAATTCTGGACATAAGGGCAAACAAGAGCATCCGGGAAACCGCATGAAGTTATGCAATTTATTTCGAGAGAACTGATGAGCTCACCTTCAGAACATGATGAGACGACTCCAGTAAATAAAACCCTATCCCATGATAACGTCGCACAGTATAGCACGATTTCGAACTCAAGACTTGAACAAAGCGGGTAAGTACCGTATCGTTTAGTGAAAGAAAAAAACACAGCAGTACTTACCTTAGGGATGATACTAACTTCTAAGACAGTTCAGCCCCAGAAAGGTGGATGGATGTCAACGAGGCGATAGAAGTTGAACTCAAAGTCATTGATGTATTGAAGCAGTAAAATCGGTGTGATCCTCGGATCATTAATGCAATAGACGAATAAAATTCATATGTTGCATAAACAGGAAAAGAAGATGGAAGTTGGTAAATGAACAATGGCAAGGCTATTCTGGCTAGCACGATTCCTACGCTGAAGGGCGGGTTGAACATAGTCATCAGATAACAAATAACTTTCAAGTAGTCTTGGGCAGCCCTATTGTATTTTGTCAGTCTTAATAGTCAGTAGTCAGAACCTAACAGAGATCTTCAGGGAACTTGTAGCCATATAATAGGTAGTGTGAACCAGGAAAACATGGTTGACTCAGGAAATGTACGTAGCAGTAGACCTAGATGAAGTACAATAGAGCAGAGGGTGAGTAACCGGGGAAAGGGCTATCTCGTCAAAGTAAATTCAAGAGATCAAATGCAGAAAGTCACTAGTAATTGCTAGTTGAGGCATATGATAGTAGAGGCGACGGAGAGCGTATAACCGGAGACCATGTGTAAAAACTTGCAGGCCGGAAAGTTGGGTGAGTGCAGACAATGTGTCTATAACATAGACGATTTTAGGGACGGATTGAACTAAATGAACAGCAACAAGAACGATGATTAGAGTACTAGTATGGGTTATTCGGATACAGGAAAAATCACAGACTAGATGCAACCGTGTCGTATCAGCCCTGAAGCCCGCTGTTCTTGGCTCAATTGGTGAGTGAATGGCAAGGAATACTCGTCGTGCAATTTGACGCACATCGTGGGTGCGGATCATGTGGATCGTGGAGATCAAAAATTGACAAGCTAAAATTGGCCCAGATCGTCTAGTTGGTTAGGATGATACGTTGTGGTTCTTCTATACAGCGATCCGTGTTGACGGCGGTTCGAATCCGCCTCTGGGCAATTGGTATTGATCGCCACGATCAAGTACGTTTTTTACAAGTATTTTGCTTTGATCGAGATTGCTGTCTGTGGGATCTGCGCGCGGTGGAGTGATTAGAGTACGAGTACATGGTGTGAGGGTAATCGGACAACAAAACGGGGCATTCTCGTGAGTGAAAAGACAGGTGGATCCAATGCTCTTGAAAAAATGTTTCAACACGGGTTGACAGTATTAAAGTGGATGAGCGATATGCCTAGTTGTGTCAGGGATCGCCTTTTTCATCATAGCTGCACTGAGGACACTAATATTCAAGTTGGGTGAAAGATACAGGTGAGGCGAGTAGACTACTTTACAACCCGTTTACATTACGTTTGGAGAACGTCATGATGAGGAAGGGAACCCATAGCTTTTCATACCGGTATCTCGAGGAAATGACTGTTACAAGGAGAGTAAAGGAAGTATGTGTGCATCCCATCGCAACGCCGCGCTCCAATCGAGTTGACAGTTAAGAAAACAAAACAAAAAGGGGAAAAAGAAGAGAAAAGCCCTTTCCGACAAACGCTCGTCCTTCATATGTTTATGCCTCAATGACAAAGTCTCGAATCATGTTAAGGAACCGCTCCCGGTACTCCGTGGGATTGGCGGTGATGCTCATCGGCCCGTGGCCGGCAAACACATTGTATGATTTGACAAGCCCCGTCATGGCCTTGGCGCGGAACTTGTGCTTGGCCCAGAAGAAATCGAGGACAATCATGCGGTAGGTCCAGTTGCCATCGACATCTGTCAGGCCGGTGCGCCACTCGTTCGCACTGGATTGGATTGTGGGGACATCGCGTGCTTCGTCCATGACGTTGGGGCCAGGATACCGAACCATGAAGAGCGAGTAGTCGACGGCGTTGTTATCCGCGAGAACCTGAGTGTCGGCTTCAAGAAGCTCGAGCAGTTCCTTCTTCTGGGCTGCTGTGACTCGAACCTTGTCGTCGAACTCATCAATCAACCTCTCCTTGACGCTCTCCGGTGCCAGGTAGCCGTTAGCAATGTCCCTCTCAGGGAAAAAGTAGTCGTTCGGCTTGAGATCGTAGGTCTCCCATTGCTTCTTCCTGTGCTCCGTCTCCTCCTCCTCCTTTCCGTAGAGCAGGTTCTCCATGATGATGTGGTGCGTCGGCGCCATTCCCAGGATCCCGCCGAGCGTCGCTATCGAGGTATAGGCCATGTCGGTGATACGAACAAGAAGGCTGTGCGGATGCTTCCTCATGTGCGTAACGTATGCGTCGAACAGATCGTGGGTGAAGAACTCGTGCTCGAAGCGGCGGGGCAGCGACTTAATGAGGAACTTGCCATCGGCGGTCGTGAAGAAGGTCGAGCCGCTGTAGCCCAGGTCGCCAACAGGCTTGAGGTCGGATTCGCGACCCTTGCCTTTGGCGGCCTTCTGCGCGAGCTGGAAGGAGTTTATGTACTCCTGCTCGTCCAGCTGCCAGACATTGTGACGGAGCTCGAGGAAGTCGGCGGCGTGGTAGCGGGTGAGCGGGAGGTGGAAGACGGAGAGGAAAGTGGCGAGAACGCGAAAGATGCGCTTTTGGAAGCTTGGTTTGTCCGGGTTGTTGGAGTCGCCAGATATGGCTGCAAGTATCGAGGACGAGATGGAGGTGCTGCGGATTTGCATCTTGACGGATGACAGGCCTGAGGCCTGGGAGGTTGAGGTTGTTGAATGATTGCAAACGAAGACCGGACGGAGCAGCTCGCGAGATTGACATTAGCTATGTAGGAATGGATGTATGGATGGAAGCTCGAGTACAGCTTGATGGGGAGCTATTGACGTCACCCATCGAGCGACGCCCTGAACTACACTAGGACGCATAGGTAGAGTGCCTCCCTATCCACTACCAGAGCATCTTAGCGTGCCTGGATGGATACGTTGGGCATGCCGTGCGATCATGCTGATTAAGCAGAGGGAGTACCTATCCGCCAAACAACGCAAATACAAAGACATACACCTCACTCCGTTTCATTGTTGTCGCAACGTCGAGATACGCTGTACTGGAAGCAGCTGGAAGCTTCTCTTAAACTTCTACATAAACAGTGGTTGGTTGATCCCTTAAAGAATAGGATAGACGGACAAGGACGTCAAAGAGGACCGGCCTCGACAAGGGCGCATTACATTAACATAGCGCTATGTAACCCGTCAGCGACGCGGTAATAGCCGAGTTCTATCCCACAAGGTGTAAATGGACCTTAAGTAGGGCCAAGGCCGATAACCTCCACTTTAGTACCCGTCTTTACTCCAAACCCATTTCTGACATCTTTGTTGGGTAGAAAGTGCTAGTCCGTGAATTTAGTTGGTCCATCCCGCCCTTGACCAAAATGAGGTCCATCAGCACCCGATGGGATAGTTGCCGAGTTCCCTGTTGCTTGAAGTAATTCTATGCTGGGCTAGATCAGGATCCCACGATCCCATCCATTCCGATTGGAAGGTTCAAGCAACGATACCATACAAGTTGTAACTGTGTAATACCTGATCCGTAGTCGTGAGCGTCGGGCATGGGTGAGTGACCTTTCGGAGTCAGGATTACTTTCCCGGCTCAAACTGTTGCTGTACCAAAAGAGAGATTTACAGCAGATATGGAGCTGCACATCTAGCCGTTGTAATCTTGGATGTAAGTGGCCCTACACGATCTCTACATACACACTCATTGCCTCTTTGACTTGTCACTGCGAGGGCCACTTTGGGTTCATCCATCTGGAAATTCGGATGAAATGGGTTGAGCCGAGTCTCTTTCCAGTGACATGTATATTTCACCGATAACCAGCATTACGATAGAACTACGTTACGATAGGACCACATTTTGTGCGGCATGTGAGATGAGTTGACAGCAGTTTGGAAAGACTCAGGTACGCGGGTGACGAAATGAGTGTCACATTGTGTTAACAACTCTTTCTCAACCACCACCACCCGTCAGGAGATGGAAAGTATTAAGTCTTAATAAGAACACCTAAAAGGCACTAGCTGAGACATCGGAAGCCTAGAAGCTTCATAGCTATCGGAAAATCCTTACTTCTTGGGCAGCAACATGTTGTAAAACCTATAGATACAGATACTATAGCCTACAGGACTTTAGGCGTACCAATCATTTTGGCACCTTTGTGCGAGGCTGATAAAGTGCCAGCGCCTTTGGGCACGGCTACTCTACGACTGATGACGCCGGAGTGTAACGTACAAAGGGGTATCCGGGATTGCAACTAGACATCCCTCTGACCATTCGATGCCGCTTTTGGCCACCGAAACTGGCTCGAAGTGTGCAACGACCGTCGCTATTTTGAGTTTTATTCGATTAAGGACAAACTATAGCATGACGTTAGACACTATCCTTGTCGACATCTGCAGACGAAGCGGGATGACAATTCTTACGTTTGCCCAATGCATTGTCTCGACCCTCTGGAAAATGGGTGGAAGTAATGCAACATATTGGTCATTTGTTGGTCGTTGGTAGTAAGCCACTTGTCGGGATTGAAGTTCTCTGGACTAGGGAAAACAGTTGGATCCCTCAGGGGGAAAAGAGGTGACGCACTGACTATTGTCTAGACTCGGTTTTAGAACATACCAGCGTTCTCGAATGGGCGATGCGGCATACCCCAGGCTTGAGAAAGTGGCCATTGAAGGTCCACCCATCTTCCGGGACTACTCTAGGCATCCTTGCTCTCACTGGACAGCTCAGCCGCAGTCCCTCTTTGATACAGGCACCAAGAAGCGGAAGTGCGTCTAGACCCTTGAATAGTGGTCGTGAGTCTCCCATGACAGGTTGAACCTCTTCCCAGAGCTTCGTGTAAGGCTCTGGTCGCCCTAGAAGGTAATGCATTGTAGTAGCCAAAGAAACAGCTATCGTGTCTGTGCCGGCAACGAGCATCAAAACACCTTCTTCGACAAGATGGACATCAGAAACAGGGTTGGAATTGTGCCGCCATGGATTTGAATAGGGTCCAGTCAGCATGTGATGTCGACTTCATGGCGTCCGGTCCTTTCTCGGCAGCCTGATCATGCAAAAGTTAGCTGATATTTGAAGCCGTATCCCAGGCATCGAGAAGGCAAACCTGTACCAGCTGCACGGTTGGATCTGGGATGCCTGGTATTAGTTGAGCTATCTTTGCTAGCGCTGGAAACTATTGCGTCTAGGCCGTAAGCAATTGCTATTCAAAAAAGTGAGTGATGATCAACGTACGAAGGAGATGTTATGATCAGCAGACTCGAGAGTTTCGATGATTGGGTGATGGAAATTCTCAGATTCCAGTGCGTTCGCTGAAACGCCAAACGCAAACTCGCATAATAGGTCCAGTGTCAAGCAGTGAGATGCATAATTTAGAGAAATCTGTTCTTCTCTCAATGAGTGTTCAGTTATGCGGCCAACTAGCTGTTGTATCGAGGTATAAATCTTGAATTCCTGCTCAAGTAACGACTTCTTAGAAAAGCTGTGAGACAGCAATCTCTTGTCTTGCACATGTCGACTACGATCACGCACAGTGAAGAGGTTGTCGACCTGAAAGACAAAGGGCTCGTAAAAGAAGCGGGCTTTATCAAACTCAGAACCTTGACTGTATATCTTGGTGAAGGCGTTGATGTGATTAATGGAAACTTCGTCTGGGGTAATCCGTACAACTGGGCCTGATAATGTGTTAGTTGAAATGACCCTTTTTCTACCATGATCAAAAGATAGCGACGCTATACCATAAGTTTGGTGCAACTTTAGCAAGGTTTCATAACCATGTCCACCCAGTACTTTGAAGAACATCCAACAGTGCATGCTTTTTGCCCATAATGGGCCAGAAATACTACGCAGAGGATGGAGGAAAACACTGTAAAGAGATTTAACCACCGGCCAGAAAATCAGCGTAACGACACCGCAATAACAAATGGTGGTACTGAAACTCAAGGTGAAATAGGATCCTGCAAGATAGTCCAGCGCAGGCATAGTGGATGGAAATTGTTGCTGAGATCAAATGAAACGTGTCTTGACTAAGGAGAGTCTTGAATGTTCTGTCATACACATACACTAATATATTGCGGCGTGATCGTTGATAAACAGAAGCGGAGTACGGATCCGGGCCGCAGCCTATGGGGGTAGTGTGTGGGGTTAGGCCGGAGAGTTAAGGCGGTAAGTATGCTGGTACATTCCGGTTTGCTATATGTTGTCGATGCCGTGCCCACCGAAATCATTATCCCATTCGGTCTGACGGACATAGTTAGTCGCCGTGAGTCACGCGGCGCGGACATCACGTTTCCCGCTTAATAACTCATTCACCACTGTCTAGCTTGCTTCGGTTGACAAGTATGCGGGACAATTGTGGCGTTTCGGGCCGCGTCGAACACATCCGCGGTTCCACTATGTCACTATGTGATTCAAATAGAAATGGCAGATGTTGTTGACTAATTACTCTCCCTCAAGAAGAGCATCAGCACCCTGTTCCCCCACCTATCAGTCTCCGAAGCGGAAAGTAATAGTTTCTCTGGGATGGTACGCCGCCGGAACCGGAGGTTTTAATCAAGTTTGTAAAGTTCCATCAGACACAATGAGTGCTATGGGAATAAGCAGCGTAGTTTAATGTATCGAGGTGCTCCGGTGTACACACTGGCGAATAATGCTGGACCCTACCAGAGTATTCAGAATCAATTCCGTTAGAAGCTCTTTGATAGACCATTGCACCTATTTTTATTATCACAAACCACAAATAAATCTCTGCTGGTTCCCAGGTGTTCTCCTGGAGCCTTGTGGTACCGTGAAATCTTTAAATTCCAAAGATTCCGAGCCATGCTGAAATTTTTCAAGATCACGCGACGGAATTATCGTTGTAATTATACGATGTACTACTGTGCTGCAACTATCAACGCAACACCCAGGTACGATGGTAAGGGAAACGATATACTTGGAGAGCTTCATATAAGTCGAGATATATGCACAAATTTGATATAATGTTAACCATTTCATCGGAAGCAACTCCTTAGAAACGGGCCCTGTTGAGGCGGTGGCCGGCCCGCGCTATAGTTTTACATCTGCCTCTGCTTGCTAACTGCAAGCTGTAACTTATATGATGATAGTCATGTGCAGATTCTAGTTTTTTTTGCGTACCTTCTTAATCGGGATATGTAGGATTCATATACTAGACCTCAGGCAGGTAAGCCTTCCTGCAACAGCAATAGTTTCTGTGATGCTGCACGAATTTACTCGGATTGTTTTCCAAAATGAACAGGGCTTTATAGCAAATACATTTCAGCTTACTGCCAAATTATTATTGCCCATATTTTAGCATTTTTTAGTGTGACAAAACCAGGATGATGCATAAGCCGTGAAGTTACCTCGTCCCTTGCCACCTAGTTTCCATTTGCCTTGCACGGCTAGCAACGGAACTCAGATATTATATTGTGACTTGGCAATGGCTCAGCCGTCACAAGGTGAGTTGAGTGTGTATAACCCTAGCACTGCGGTGATTCGATGCTTTTGAAAGTAGCGTGTAGCTAAATTGATTCACACCCGAAGATCGCGACTGGTATCCTAAGCTCCGCATGACCACCGACAGCAAGGACACTGGGCTATCACAACGACACGGTATAGTCAGAGCTTGCTTGGAATCCCGTACAGCGTCCGGTAATGAGTGTGAACGATGGATTGGACTGGACATGCACTGCAGTAGATTGATGCGTTATTAGCAATCTCGGAGATATAGCTGAATCACTTCATGTACGCATGTTGTTGTTGTTCACTTAAAGGGAAACAGCCTTTAAGAGGTAAACTCCATTGCCCGCTTTTCGGTGACTCCTAAGATCTGTACATCTGAAGACGCCACATTTTAAACGCACCCATTTGAGTAATAATTATGCCTACTCTAGTAAATGAACAGTAAGGTTTATATTACTTCCCGTTTTATGTTTGTTAGACTCGCTAGCTTGAGTTCTCCTTCTGCTAGTGACTTTCTTCTATTTCCAAGCCCTGCTGGCCCTATTCCCCACTTCGAATACCTATATTGTTTGCTGGATCACACTTAGCTAGTAATTCGTCCTGTGAAAGCCTGTCGATAGTATTAGCAAACTTATAGACCAAGTTGGCAATGATGATGGTGGTGTGCATTGATAAGCAAAGGTCTTCTCATTTTATTTGCATTGCGCTTGTAACTCTACAAAGTAACATATCCTCCAACAGCTGTATGATCTATAGTTTTGAATTCTGAAGTGTAGTCTATAGCTTGCTTCTCAGATCCTTTCTCTCGTCCTTCTTGAACAACACCTTGCTGTTTGGGTAAGGGTCAAAAACCACTTTGTTCAGCGGGTTGTCTTCGCTAGCACGCTTAAACATATCCTCATAAACCTTTCCATCGTGGCGGCCCAGACTGCTGTCCAGCACCCAGTCGTCAAACTTCCAAGCATCAACCAAGCGTACTGCATGAGGACGGATCTCCTCCAGCAAAGTCATGACAGCCTTTGTTCTCGCCAGAGTGATCTGGCGAACTGTGACAGCTGCGGAGCTGTAGAACTCGCTAGCCTCCTGCTCAAGCGTGTTCAAAGCATACAGTCTGAAAAGCTTATGCAGCAGATTGACAGTGCCCTCATCAAGCTGCTCGGTTGTAGCCTTGTCGTTAAGTGCCTGGTGGAAGTTTTTCACGACCATGTACTGCGCATGCGCGGTGCTAAGGCGCCAGAAATCAACAAGTAGGCTGTTCCAGGACTGCTTGTCCTCATCTCTGTGGCGGAGAGCTTCGAATGTCAAGAAAGACACACGCCAGGCAAAAGCAGCGACGAGATCCTCGTCGGAGCCGAGAACATCGAAGGCGGCGCCGATGTCGCGGCGGCGAAGGAACTCGGAAAGAATACGAGTAGTGTCGTTGTTGCTGTGGTTGCCCTTCAGGACAGAGCGAGCGGACTTGAGAAGATAGCGAGACACTTGCTGCGTAAGCATGTAGTTGTCTCCTTCCCATGTCAGCGTCGGCAGGTAATCAGCGTACCAAGATCCGATACCGCTGAAGGAAGAATAGCCGTGGCCACCACAAGCACGACGGCAGACTTCCAGACCCTCGCCTGCAACGGTTGAGCCGTAGGCCTTGAGGGCACACGAAGTGGCATGCAGATCAGCGAGAAGGTCGGTCCCGGGATTCAGCTCCTCGGGGCCAGGGTTGCGATTTCCGTCGCTGAGCTTGCCGACATTGGCGCTCATTCGCTTCTGATTTTCGTTGTACAGATTAATCATGCCACGACCGGTGAAATGGAGGGCGAAAGTTGCGGCAAGCAAGGGCAGGAGACGTATCTGTACCATAGTGTAGTTGAGCACCTGGTTTTCACCCGGTTCGTTGGCAGGGGCATCACGGTCCTGGAACTGGCGGCGAACAGCGCAGTAACGAGTAGCAATGGTAACACCCTTGGCAAGGACGGAACCCGACTGTAGAACAATGTTTGATCGGACCCAGGTAAGAGTGCCGTAGATCAGCGAAGGGTTAGCTGGTCTGCTGTATTTGCTCGTGTTCGGGTCGATGGACGAGAAGCGGGCGAGCATGTGGTTGTGCGGGACCTTGACGTTGTTCAAAAGCAAGAAACCGTTATCCATGGTATTATAACCAAACTTGGGGCCGATATCGCCAACATGTACGTTCGGGAGAGGCTCATGGGTGTTTTTGTCGCGGATGGGAACAACGAAGGGGTGAGGGCCGATCTTCTTGCCGTTCAGGACAAGCTGTGCCATTACGACAGCATGTGTGGCCGTCTTACCCAACGAACCAATCCACCACTTCGAAGCGGTCAGGTGAGGAGAATGCAGAACGAAAGTTTTGTCCGACGGGTCCCATGTCGCTGTAGTCTCCAGGCCACGTACGTTCGAGCCGTGGCCAAGTTCCGTCTGGGCATAGCAACCAAGGATCTCGTAGTTTTCTGCAGGCTCGAGAAAAAGCTTGTGTTGCTCTGGAGTACCTTGCTCGCGCAACGTAACAAGGAACATACTCGCGTGGAGTCCATAAGGCGTCGGCTCGGCGATAAGGTCATTGGCAACCATGTAATCATCCTTTGACCAGTTGTGCTCCTTGGTCAGCTGGAAGAGCCTTTTGCCCCTCGCCAGCGCTGCTTCGATTCGAGCATTGCGGCCGCGGAAATAGTTCTGTGTCTTATCGAAGACGGGTTCCTTCTTCAGAATATTCAATATCCGCTCATTGCGCTGGAGAGCTTCGTTTGTGAACATGAACGTCGCAAGCTGGTCGACGTTGAGGTTGGACTTGGCTCGCTCCTGAGCGAGGAGCTCGGTGCCCTGCGGGCCAGACGGCTGAAGGGCTTTGACCCAATCCGGAGTATTCGGCATCTTGTTTGGGTGCGGAAGTGAATTCTGGGGTAATTGAAAATGGACTGGGGAAAATTTCCTGGAGAACAGGAGGCCTTGCAGATGGGGTTTTGTAGGATGGGCACCTTCACCTGTGCGTTGTCCAGATCGAATCAAGGTTTCGTCTTCCGACTCGGAGAACTCGCTATGATGCTTAGATGGGGAGTGCCTCGGTAATTACCACATCAGGTTAGACACAGCCCGCTTCTTTGCGCGTCAACTCCACGTCGAGCGTGTTTAGAGATCCCTGCTTCACAGAGCGACCCACCAAATGTTACCGTGCTAGCGTCCCGAAGATCGGACGTGGTCGGCGCCGACTCCGACTCCCGAGGGTAGAAAACGCGCAGCCGAGGGACACCGGCTGTGATGATTGAATGCCGGTCGACCGTCATTAAAAATGCGTGCAGCGGCGCAACATGCTGCGTGCTTAATCACGGAAGTATCGCTGACAAGCTTGACGCAGATCTTCAGTTTCTGATATCACTTACCCACCTGGCAACCCAAGTAAGTTTAACGCAGTCTAGGCGCTGGCGGCACGGAGTTTCGCCGATATAGTCTAGTTCAAACAGCTTTGCGGAGCGCTCTTCTCACAGAGAGCATAATGTTGCGTTCATATTTAGCTGCTCACATACGGTAACGATATATCTGTCTTAGGCAAAGAGGAAATAAGAACATCACTGTATACGAGTTGGCCTTGTGCAGATTTAGCGCTACTTTCCTGGGTTGTCGGCAACACCAGTAGAGTTTGAGTCTGACAATATTGAGGGTGCGAACGAAACTCGAACCTCTCACCGCATCATCCGAAAGTGCAAGATGGTCAAAAATCTTAATGAACTTTGAAGGCAGCGAATTCAAGATTCTTGGGTTGTTTACTGAGCTGTCATCGCTGGATAAAACAGCAGTTCCATTGTCTCTACCCCTGCGGCACACATCTTCTCGATGCACAGATGAACAGAAGCTCAACGAGATTGTGCTTGCTTGATGCAAAGAATTGAAGAAGGCCACGGAAAAATCATTCATACCTAGAGCCAATCTACATGTAATCCTGGGGAAAGGTAGTTCTCCCAAGTCTCGTTTACAGGTGTTCCCGACCATCTCCCCGACTGTGGAACAACATCTTCCTCAGGAATTAGACATTCAAATGTATTCCAGTCCAACTTCTATTGCCTTTGCCAGGAGTCTTACAGTTTCCTACGTTTTGCACCTTGAGCCGAATAAATTCCCAATTTGCAAACGCAGCTACTTCAATTGCACTTTAATTACGTCCTTTCTTGCAATAACCATGCAATTTTCATTTTCTGGCTTTTAAAAGGCATGATAGGCCGCTATTTCACATGCTTGGCAGGGTTCACCCATTAGAGCTGATAGGGGCCATGCAAGTTGGAAACCACTCTCTGGAACCTTGATCTTTCTCTAACAAAGTGTCCAAACTTAAGGTCTTGGCTGAAAGCACGCCTACTTGAAAATGCTACCAGAATCCTGTCTTTTGAGGCAATTGAGTCATTTTCGCATGCTGCGTTTCAGCCATGCCATTCTGATCGATGGTTGGGAACCATGAGCTGATGATCGTGCTGTCATTTAGAAGGCATTCATCGTCCATCGATCCTCTTGATAAATATGTGTGTAGGAGCAAGTATCTGTAGGAAGAGGGGCATATAAACTTTGGAATAATTCAAGTCGCCAGCCATTTGTTCTGACTTCCTCTGAATGATGCAAGCTGCTTGATCAGATCAAACGTCGCGGAAAGCTTAAAATATGGCGAGCTTGACGTTGCCCCACGGCTAAGAGCTTTATATCATTAAAGCCATTTTGGGGTTAGCTCAGAATTTCATCACGGACTCCTACCAGACATCTAGCGCTCCCAAAGACACCTTGTCAAGGAGGAGCCTTAGCTTGTTAAGATATCAATCTCAACCAACCAATCTCATTTTGGCAATGAACGACAGTAATGGTGGGGGAAAAGACTTTCGCGCCACGAAAGATCGGATCTTTCCATCGGATTTGTTGTCAAAGCTTTGGCTGTGGAGACTGGTCTCAGTGACGCAGAGGCAAAACGTGTGTGTTGGGTTATGTCTGCATAATGAGATAGTTGCTAAGCGCCTTTGAGAGAGCTACTTAAAGGCGTCAAAAACTATCACGAAAGTCATTGAACTGTGGATGTAGGGCAATGAGTTAGTAATGAGTTATGGAGTCAAACTACTAGCCGATATAGCTCACCCAGTCTTCTGTAGCATTCCAAGGGCATGGAAAGTCAACTGAAAACCAGTCAAAATACGAACCGTTGATACTCTGCGCTGTTCGTTGTCTCTTAACGGCCTACAAGCCGATACGCGTATGATCACACGCTATAAACCAACCAAAACCAATTGAGAACTGAAACGGTCAGAGGCAAAATTAGAACACCCTGTGAACTTTGTGATGAAATGAATAGGAAAGTTTCACCGAAGTTGCCCCAATTATCATGACAATAGTTGGCCCGTTTTCTCCATACATACGCTAATGCTCTGTTGCCAAGGCGCATAGGCAGTGCCAAGGTCTCGTAATCTGGCAAACTGCCAACAACCCCGCTTAAACACGGTCTTGGCTGCTTTGCATCTGCGAGATATGCGAAGGGGGCTCTGCGTCGATCTGATAATTTCCACTATCTTGATATCCATATCTGTTGATTATTGGTACAGTGCCATCCCAAACATCTTTCTCCATCGGCTCTGTAATTTCGTATATATGTCTAAAAGTTCGAAAGATACCAGTCACAGATTGATTTGGGAGAAGGATATGAGTAAGAACAGAACTTGGAGTTCCGACTGGGGAATCGTTTCAATTAAAAGTGAATCTTCGTGGAAATGAACTATTGCAATAGGGCGGGATGACCAGGTCCATTACCTCTCCGATTTGATTTTTTTTTCAGTTTCCCTTTGCACGACAGAGACTGTCCTGGTAGGACCGTAGGACACACACAGAAGCGCGAAGACTCGCTTGGTCAATTGACAACCACTCATTTCTCCGTCGTAAACTGCCTGCACAGGGCCTTTCAAGTTGATTTAAAGCTGCTCGTGATGAATAAGATGAACCTTGGGAACTGTCTGCCTCACTCAAGCACTTAAAACTGATCCTACTGGGCCTTGCAATAATGATCAGATGTGTCGGCCCAGCCTGCTGAGCGAAGAATTATGTATTGCTTTAGAGGCTGTTGAGTTCGCGTTGCACACCGCACTACACCTCTAAAGTTCAGATCATCCTGTACCATTTCACTATCAAAAGGTGATTTGGGCTAGAATTTGGGAGATCGAAGGCCAGTCCAGAGTTGGCGTGATCATTTTCCGCCAGCACAAGAGAATGAGTGAAAAATGATACCTCGAATAGTAGTTGAAAAATAAAAGTGCACAATAATCTATTGATATCTCGTGATTATCCACCTTCCTCATCCTCTGGAATTTAGGTTCCGTTCCCCTACAACAGGAAGAACTCCTGCCTCGCAATCCCGTCCAACGAGACTCATCCATATGGGGTGGCCACGCATTCACACAACCTACTCAGCAGAAACATCTTACACCGGCCAATAGTGGCTTTTTCAGCTCATAGGGTCTCTTGTTCTGGGTAAGAGTCTTTGCACCTCGGATGCTGTCGGTACCTGCACGTCGAGGCGAGTCAAGATGCTGATTTGAGGAAATTTGGCTAACGGTAGCCCCGGACGACCCATGCCGCAACCCATATTTAAATCTACATGACACAAGGCGCTTCCCCCACCCAATAAACATTTAGTTAGAAGACGGAAAGCACTGACTTAGTGAACAAGCTTGTTTTCTATTTTTTAAACTTGATCCCACTCTACCTACAAGCCTGGGTCAATTGAAGTTAGCGCGATCAATCTTACCATTGCTAGCCCTGTCAGTATACTCGGGGTCAGGGTTCCTTCAATGACCACCGGCTGAAGAGTGGAGTAACCACTTTCGGGGTCGGGGGGGTTGGTTGAAGCATGGCACGGCGACGAACTGTCATTCGCGGAATGATCAAGATAATCCAGTCCGTCCCTTAACGGTATCTTCCGATACCTCAAATCGTAGACACCTGTGCTTGCGTGGCTTAAGGGCTCATCTCGTAAGGTATTTCGCAATTCATTCGGCACGCAGCGTGATTTGGGGATAGAATGATGCCTGTGTGGTAGACGGAAATGTTCATAAAAGACTTGAAAATCAGGCGTGTATATAAGAGCATGGTCATAAACCAAGTTGTTCGACTCTGAATGCTCAGCACTCCCGTCCCCTCTGAATTAACTCGTCTTGACAAACTTGAAAGCCCGCCCATTATCTTAACCCCAGTCAAACATAATCACTTCGATATGAAAATCACCTCCGCTTTGGCAACGCTCTTCGCCCTTGCGGCTGCGACCCCGACTCCCACCGTCGATAACGTCGCTGACAAGCCACACCTTGTCAAACGTGCCTCTGTCTCTGATAAGGCGACGCTTGGTTATGCTACCTTGAACGGAGGGTAGGGATCTAGACAAGTCGTGTCTCAAAGCCGGGAGCTGATTAAGTCGCAGAACATCCGGAGGATCTGGTGGAACCGTCACCACTGTCTCATCCCTCGCCGAGTTTACTGCCGCTGTTAACGAAAAGGATACTACGGCCAGGATTGTGGTCGTCAAGGGTATTATTAAGGGCACTGCCAACGTCCGCGTTGGTAGCAACAAATCCGTGATCGGCCTCCCCGGAGGAGGTGAGAGATATAACCTCAAAAATTGTTGTATGAAGTCACTCATAATGTCGAACAGGCTTTGAGGGTATCGGTCTACATGTTCGTCGCCAGTCGAATGTTATCATTCGCAACATCAAGTCTTCCAATGTCTTGGCCTCTACTGGTGATGGTGTAAAGATTGAGGTAAGGAGATGGTGCGAACAGAAATAACTCTGTTGGAAAGACTAGCTGATTTTTATTTCCAGGAGAGCACAAACGTGTGGATTGATCACAGCGAGTTCAGCTCTGTTCTGGTTGCTGATAAGGACTATTATGACGGACTAGTTGATGCCTCTCACGGGGCCGACTATATCACCATCTCTTAGTGAGTCAAGATACTTCAAACTACCAAGGAAAAGTCTATTTTGACACTCTCTAGTACATATTTCCATGACCACTGGAAGACCTCCCTGATTGGTCACAGCGAGAACAACGGTGGTGAGGACAGCGGCCACCTGCGAGTCACCTACGCCAACAACTACTGGGCCAATTTTGGCTCTCGAGGCCCATCCTTGCGATTCGGCACCGGCCACATCTACAACTCGTACTATCTCAAGTAGGTCCTGTTATTCGGTTTTGCCACTGCCACAAGAAATTACTAATAAGCCATAGCGGTAACTCTGCCATTAACACCCGCCAGAACGCCCAGGTCCTCGTCCAGAGCAATGTCTTCAAAAACGTGACCATCCCAATCACCTCTCAGGACTCTGATATTGTCGGCTACGCTGTTGCAATCGACAACGACTTTGGTGGTGCTTCTAACCTTGCCCCCGTTGGAACTTTAAACGCCAACTCCCCCCCTTACTCATACACTCTCCTCGGGTCCTCCAAGGTCGTCGCTACTGTGCCGGGACAAGCTGGCCAGAAGCTTACTTTCTAACTAACCTTGAAGCCTAGGGCCACGAACGGCTAGGCGGTATGGCTGGACTACGGATTGCGTTCTAATAAAGGAGAAATTACTGAAGGGTCTAAAGCTGTACATGTCCAAATTCGAACCGCGCTATAGTTTCTGTACTTGCTTTGTGAGAGAATGGAGGTTTCAAATAGCTGCATCGACAGTTGCATATACGGAATAACAAGACTGCTGACTCATTTGATGCAAAATTTGTCATGTATTCAACAGCAAGGTCGTCTGAAACCTTTCATTACCATAACCCTAATTTAGAATCGCACATTATGTGAACATGGAATTATACATGATGTGCGTACTTGTCACTAACAAAGGCGTATCCTAAAGATGACATGATAGTCTAATGCTACCAATGGTGCTTACAGAGTTTAAAAGGTATCTCTGTCGGCATTAATTCATATTTACATCGCCGTCACTTGGGTCCGTCTGCCATGGTGCTCGCGTGTCTTGAAATAAGAGCTAATCTCATACTCTCAATCGTTGAGAGATAAGACCGTGATGCAATTGCAAGCCCAATATCCAAGTAGAATACTAAAAGCAATCCGTAGATATTTTTGCATCAAAGACAACGGTGTTCAGAGCCATCTTTCGCACTCCCGACTTGTCACACTTCGTTCCTGACGTAACGCTCTCTAGAGCGTGCGTTGATCTTGACTTCGGGGAATTCGAATTCCAACCCAGCGACTTTATAACCTCGATATATATGACGGGGGTTGGGTTTTGGGTATTGTCGTTTTTTCCGATCACCAAATGAAGGCCCTTTACCTCATCTTCAACTCCTCTTGCTGTGCAGCCTGTTGTATAGGTATTTGAGGAGGCTGCTGAGGTGGGAGCTGTAACGCCGCCTGTTCAGCAGCTTTCTGCTGCTCCGCTTTTTCTAGCGCCTGTTGTGTCTGAATCTTTTGGAGGTTCTCGTGCTGATCAATTGCTTGCTTCTGCTCCTCGGGAGAGAGCGAATTGAATGCAGCGATGTCTTGGTCCCACTTTATAACGCACTCAATATTCCAGTTGCACCTCTCAACTTCACCAAAGATAGGGTGTCTGAAACGCGGGTGCCGGCTGGGCCAGTTCGAAGCGTGGTAGTGATGCTTGACAAGGGCGCCCCTTGAGTTGTGGTTTCCAGAGTCGGAGTGACCTTGGCCGGCAGCGAAAGATTCGACGTCGCGGACCAGGATGTTGCTGATGACTTTTGACTCGTCAATATCATGGAAAGTGTCCCATGTTATCGACCCTGATCTAGACCGCGCACTCATCACTTCCAGCACGGCTTTGGTGAATGCCGAAGGCCCGGTGCCACTGATGACCTCATCAAAGTCTAGCTTGACTTCTGAGATGGACACACCTTGGGACTTTGCCACATCGCGGAGCCATGCCATGATATTTTCAACCAGCTTCATCATAACAGGATGACCGGGACGCGACATAAATGTCCATTGGCAAAAAGACATCGACTTCTTGCCAAGGATGGGGTGATCTTTGAAGTGCGGCTGATCGATTTCGACCCCAATGACAAGGTCGATGTCTGCCTCCGCATACCGTTCCGGAATCCATCTGCTAACGGGCCGAAGATCCTCAACATCAATGTCCGCATAGACTCCTCCCTCCGCATACATGATCATGTAGCGAAGGAGGTCAGCCTTGATAATGGTGGCGTTCACATTACGGTACATGTCGACAATGTCTGGGCGGTCGAACCCACCTGGGCCATAGTGCTCTTCGACGTACTCCATATCGTTATTGTCGGTGAGGACTTCATACCGGTAACCAGGGTTTTTGTCGGTCCATGTCCGCGCAGTAAGAATCTGCTCAGCTTCAAAAGCGAACGGTGCAACCTTCCAAGATTGCCATATCTTCTTTGGGAAACCTGCTCGCTTGCTTGTTGAGTAATGACCGCCTCGTTTGGCGTGGTGGACAGGCTTCGGCATCGATCCGAACAAGTCGAGGTTGACGACGAGAAGAATTATGCATACGCAAGCGATATACAATGGTATACATCTCCGAAGTTGTGTTGGGACTCTGTTTCTAAGAAAGCTGGTCTTCATTGAGCCCGTCGGGCTCAATGGACTCAGTGGACTCATGATGGGTGAAGACATGTTGCTAGAAGTTATCCGAAGCTTGGGAGGCGTTCAACCGAAAAAGCTCATGACCAAACTTTGGGAAAAGATACGACGAGCATAAAAAAGAAGACAGGTGGGATGCATGTCAAGATTTGAAGGCGCTTCTTGCATGCATGCATACATACCAGGCATTCTCTTCGCCGAGGCAGGGATCTCCTTACACTATTCCGATAACCCCCCATTTCCCTCTCAGTCAACCCTCAGTTGCTTTGTGCATCACTTTCACGAGCCGGGATGCAAGAGCCAAAAAGAGAGAGAGGGTAGGGGAACCCGAGGTTTCTTTTGCGAAGTTGCATCGCGTTCATCCCGTCTAGGGCTGACTGACGCCACCGCTTCCATTTTGTGACAAAGTTTGGGCCTTTTGGGTCAGCTATGCTACTTGTCTTTCGATACGAGGGAAGCTAGAACGGGAGCTCGGCGGTGTGGCCTTTAATTCGCCCAGCTCAAAATCGACGAACAACTACGATCCTCCACTGCAAAAATCAATCAATCCAAGAATGAAAGCCATTAGGATGCACCAAAGTGATGAGAACCACTTGTTGCGGTCGCCTGCATTTCACGCCATAATAGCGCCGGGAGATTGAGCTTGTTTGAGAGTCCATTGGGCCGATCATAGCCACCGGCACCAACGGCTACGATAGTCAGGGCAGCGGAGGACGGTGGAACCTTCCCAATCAAGAGGGTTTGCAGCAGTAAATAACTATAAGCTAATAGTGATATGATTACACCGGCCAACTGCTCTAGTTGCAGACGTGATTCACGTGTCGGATCAGTTACCTAGTTAGACCGATTGACGTTACACCGCTCGAGAAGATTGCCAGGGCTGCTCATCCAGAATGCAACCTGCGGATGCAATGTATGTCACAACGAAGGGACTTCCGTCACGCATTTTCCACGCTACTGATTTCTTTCACTTTAGCGGTGGCCCGAAGCTGGGCTCTCCGCATTCTACCCTTGTCAATCCCCCGCATGTTGGGCCAGGAACCCCCAGACGGACAGTGGGTCATTCGGACTAAGCCTACGTCCCCGCATCCCTCAAAGCTCGACCTCGGAACTATCCCATGGTTCAGCCTGATGTGTGAGTAGTTAACCTTCTATTTGCTTGTGAAACTATGGATGAACAAGTGGTTGATAGCAAGCATGCTTGTGTGTTTCTTTGCTAGATAACGCAAGGATCAACGCCAAGCCGGACTACATCCCTACTAAAGCGACTTCCTGGTGGCAACTGCCGATGTGCCTGTGAAGAGTCCACCGATACTGTAAAAAGCTGTGTCTCTTTTCCTAAAACAACAAAGCTTCCGGAGGGGTGAGGATTGCGACACCTTTTCATGCAGTACCAGCAAGCACCCATCAGCGCGCATTCAACATCGTTAGCAGCTTGAGGCTGGGCCCCTCTTCACATCGACCTCTGATCGAGACCAACGCTTCGCAACTCCATAAAGATGTCTCCCAGAAAAGATGGTATTCTCGACTGTCAGAAATGGGACGAGGTCAAACCAACCTGGTGTGATGGGTCCAAATGGCTCACTGAAGACGTCGACTGGAGGCCGGCCACCCTCACAAGAAGCAGACGGCTCTCACGCTTGAACCTCGCCCGCCTCAGCTCCTTCTTATGGCCCATAAAAGACACAAAGCAATCGCAGACGCCACGACCAACGGCTTACCTTGACGGGCTTCGAGGGTTTGCTGCTTTCCTAGTCTACTGGCACCATAACCAGCTTTGGGCTCACGAGCCGCACGTCCAGAACCGCATATTTGAGAATGCTTTTGGCTACGAGAACAAATACCACTTTGTTGCCTTCCCCGGGATAAGACATTTTTTTACCGGCGGCCATTTCGCCGTGTCGGTCTTTTTTGTCATATCCGGCTACGTCCTTTCTGCCAGGCCGTTAAGCTTGATACAATCCGGTGATCATGGCAAACTAGCAGAGAATGTCGGCTCAGCGTTATTCAGGAGATGGATCAGACTGTATCTCCCCTTGATTGCGACTACGTTCATTTATATGAGCTTCCTTCACCTATTCGATATTTGGGTTGACAACATCGATCGTGCGTCGACTTGGAGAGAAAATGTTTGGCTCTGGTATTGCGAACTGAAAAACTTCAGCTTCGTTTTCACTAATGGCAGCAGCCCTTTCTTCAGCTGGAACCCTCACCTTTGGTCAATCCCTGTCGAAATGAAAGGGTCAATCATCATCTACACCGCACTTATCGCATTCTCACGATGCACCAGAAATCGCAGACTCTGGTGCGAGGCCGGACTGGTATTCTACTTCATGTACATCGCTGACGGCTGGTATGGCGCCATGTTCGTGATGGGAATGATGCTCTGCGATCTCGATTTATTGGCAAAAAAGAACGACCTGCCAGAAATCTTCAAGAAACTGGAGCCAGCCAAGATGTTCATCTTCTACCACTTATTCTTCGTTTCCATGTATCTGGGTGGTGTACCATCATACACAGGCGACGTCATGAAGATGCGCGAAAACCGCGGATGGTACTACCTGTCCTTACTCAAGCCGCAAGCCGTTTTCGATTACAAATGGTTCTACCTTTTCTGGGCTGCTGTATTTCTCGTCTCCTCGATTCCTCGAATTTGGTGGCTGAAAAGGTTCTTCGAGACACGCTTCTGCCAATATCTTGGACGGGTCTCGTTCGCCCTCTATTTGGTTCATGGACCTGTCCTCGGTACACTGGGAGACCGCCTATACACAGCTGCAGGCTACTACAAAGACTCAGAGAAGCAGCACCTGGCGTACGTGGTTGACAGGTTTTCGCTGCCAAAGGTCGGCCCTCTTGGGCTAGAGCCGGCCTTTCTCCTCCCACATCTAGCCATCTTACCTGTTACTCTTTGGTTGGCAGAGCTTGTCACAAGATTCATCGACGAACCTAGCGTTAGGTTTGCACAATGGCTTTACAGAAAGACACTCAATGCTTCGGCGACACCAACAAAGGTCTGAAGCGGAATGACGGACAATAGCCTTCAAGCACGTGCTTCTTCAGACGAGCCGAGTCATTGCAATATCTGGTTAGGATCTAATAATGATTAGTATATGGCAACTGTAATAGACCAATTGAAATAAAGGTTGTCCCTTTCTCTGATACGGCGAAATCGCAGCCATTGGGGTACCAAGGCCACCAAAAAAACGGGTTTGGCTGCCTGCCAGCTCGCATCTGTTATTAGACCAAGTCTAAGCGCCTAAAGCTTACCCATGATGCATTTACCACTCGAGCCGGCGAGCTGCCCGGCGTCGACGGACCGCCACACACACGCACTCGCAAGCTGAATTCTCCCTCCAACAGGCTTGCGATAGGCAAGTTAGCCCGCCCTACCCTCCAACATCACACTTTCTCGTGTGCGTGCTTTCTTGTCTACTTACGGCTGTATCCTGCATTGAACCCAACGGCGCTGCAGGAACGGATGCATTGCCTAAAACGGATATGGTGTGGAAGCTCGTAGTGGGAAAGAACTGCAACTCTGGCCAGGGTTCCACGCAACTCACCGAGGCACTCGCATGCTCACATGCTCGAAGTGACAAGAGCAAGAACTGCTGAGGACGAATCATTGCCCCCCAATTCGGGCACTTGTCTTAGGAACACGGCTAAGCTTTGTGCCCTCTGGTTTACCTGACCCTTCGCACTAGCAAAGTGGGTGGCTGGGGAAGGCCCATCAAGCACTCGCAAATGAGGGGAATTGCTAGCCCGCCGATCCCCATCACTCGGCATATATCTCCCGATAGTTTGCCAAAGGTTTCCTTACAGCCCTTTCAGAAAGACCTTGTATCCCAGTCGCCCACATCCCTTGGTACGCCTGTCTGATGAAATCCTGATGTTGGGGTAGATATTGAATCATCATACTGTGGATAGAGCCTTGATTGTGCCGGTGCTCCGGAAACGTTCTTCACCTGCTGCAACTCTCAATCCAGCTCGACTCAGCACAACAGAGACAAGTCAATTGACTATCTTCATCACTTGCTTCTTCTCGTAGTAACCTCGGTTCCGTTTGGTGCCCACTTCGGCTGCATGAGCCCCAACACCTCGGCACATGGGAAACGCTGTTCGCAATGCTAGCTAGGGACTTCAAGCGTGTGGTCCTCATTGTAGGCCCCTTCCTCTTTCTCACCTACGTCGGCATCCAATACCTCGACCTCAGGGACTCAGCCTCGGGTCTCGAGCATTGGTTCGACCGCATCTTTGCACCGAATTGGAGGCAAAACGATGAACTCAACCCCAATCAACAACTAGCGCCTTTGGCCTCACCGACCCAGTCACACGCTGCGATTGCATCGACAACCCTGACATCGACGGAGGCAACACATCACGAGATATTTTCGACATCAACCTTTGACAAAAAGTTTTTCCACATACGTTTTCGGGGAGAAGAAACCATCAATCCTAATATTTTACCCCATCCCAACCTTGACAACACATTTATCATCGTTGCGCAGAAAAGAAAAGCAAATGACAATACAGTCGAGCATGTTGAGTTGGTGTGCAACGCCATCTTCACACTGGAAGGGCTAACCTGCGCCGAATCACCATTGGTTCTCCCTATCGCCGCTACAAAGAGCGGCGACGAAAAATGCCCTCCTAACTTAGCATACATCGCCCTCAATATCGGACCTCACGATGCTCGCGTCTTTCATGGCCCCAAGGCTCCTTTCATCGTGTTTGGCTCTAACTCGAAGTTCACATGCTTCGGACAGTTCATGCAAGACTTCCGCTCGCTTGGGAACTGGGACTTTGAAATGTCGTTGGACTTAAGCTTTGGCCTTGGCACAGAGCTACAACGTCCTCCGCCTTGGGGCACGATGGAGAAGAACTGGTTTCCCTTCTGGGATGAGAATGGCGCGCTCTACCTTCACCAGGACGTGGCGCCTAAACGGGTCTTCGCCAAACTGAACGCGGACGGCTCTGTGGGGCCTGACCTTGCGCCGTTGGCGGCCGGGGACGAGGCATGTCTAAGCAAGTACATGCCAAATCTGCCACCGGACCACGAGTCGATACATCAGGCGACCAACTCACTAAGCATTTCATTTTGTAAAAGGAGTGACCCGACATGCAAGGCTACCAGCGACAACACTTTTATTTTCACTGTATTCCAACACAAGACCTTTTATCGCTTTCATAGCGAATATGAACCATATGTCATGGTTTTCCGCCAAAAGGCACCCTTTGAAACATATGCAGTCTCGAGGAGACCAATATGGATTCATGGTCGAGGGAAGAACCTTGACGGGAGTTCCGACATGTTTTACGTGACTTCCATGAGTTGGAAACGGAAGGATCAGAGATACCATGGCTTTTTAGATGATGTACTCTTTGTTTCGTTTGGGATTGAGGACAAACGGACTGGAGCCATTGATGTTCTCGCAGAGGATCTACTGGCTGAGCTTGGAGTTTGTTTAGAGGCGTGATGAGTTACTTGTTGCTTTCATAATATCGGTGACTGGTATAGATGTCATAAGTAGCACACAACGAATTTGGTAAGAACTTTTGAAGCCCACGATCTTTGCGGCCCACAACAATGTTACTGTTCTATTCTGTATTCGTGTCTTGATAGTTGTGTCTGAAATACACCCAGGTATCTCCAAACCTTCTCTTCATAGTTGTTGCGACAACTGCATGACGCATCCGAAATCACGAAACGCATTGCCAACATTAGATGGGCTATGGGAGGATGGAAAAAATAGGTAGAACATGTCACGTTGTATGTAGGTGATCAAAATTCCGAAACAGAAGAAAGTCTGAACAGCACCTCTTATCGAAGCATATGTTGTAGTGGAAGACCATGGTAGCGAAGCCCATGTCTCGCATTTACTCGCCATGTAATGTGTAGATAAAATGTTTCAGCAGACCTAGACTACTCGTATCCGGACTCCAGCCCCAAAGGTAAACTCTTTTTGTGGCGTTGTCTCATGCTGTACCGAATCCGGGAAGACCGTGGCTTCGCCCCACGCTGAAATTTCCACAAACCATCAGACATTTTACCTTGATGGAATTCGAAAAGAGAGAGAGTTGTCTCCAACTATCGGAGAGTGGAAAGGACAGAAACAAGATTGAAGTCGTCCACCCCGCAATTTTCGAGTCGTATTCTCTGCTGATATCCAGGCTTTACTACCGGGCTAGTAGGCCATCAATGGAGTTGCATATTGCAAGGTGCTCCTTCAAGACCTTTGCTCGGGCCGAACGCGATAAACTTCGAAAGCAATAATAAAATACTGCGTGCCAGTTACACTGGCCATGGAATATTCCAAGCACGGCAGCGTCAGCATCCGGACTGCAAACGAACATCTCAAGCTGAAATGTCCCGTCAGGTCATCGAGGGATCCGCGTCCCGGAATAGTTAGTGCACCATGCCTAATGTGGCCGACGAGAACAATGGAAGGCAAGCCACATGTACATTACACTACGCCAGAAAAGCCATGGCTCAGTCTGGATGCGGAATGTTGGAACGGAATTAGTCGATTGCCGCACAAGGGTCAGTTCTTGGGGATTGCCACCGACAAAGCATTCCTCATTTTGTCTTCGCCTTATTAACGGAACATCCCAGGACATCTCACGAATTCGTCCTTATCAAGATTCCACCATATTATTGAGTTTCCGCACAGGTAACATAGTCACTCAAAGCCACAAATTCCATCATCCAGCCGACGTATAAATTAGATCGAAGTGTCGACGAAGCGGCATACCGATCAATATAGATGTACAACTCAAACGTCAGGATGATTAGCCCCGATCACTCCCTCACTTTTGTGAACTCGGCGTCGAAAAGCTTCGATCTCATTCAACACACGGATCCGACCGCCCCAGATATCCGAATGATCCACGAATTACCCGATAACACGGTCTTAGCAAAAGGTGGAGAGGCCCTTATGTCATGGACAAAGGGGTGCTATTTCGGCAAAAGCGGACGCGACGATGTAATGCTCTGTTGGCAAGAGATGGAGGCATTGCAATCGTTCTGCGTCGGCATTGAATCACCCGAAAGAGGGTTTTTCAAGCCTATCCAGTCACACTACAAGATCAAGTATAACGACGGAAAGACGATTAAGGACTGGTTCTTCCCTTCTAATAATCCTGCGGATCCATATACGTTCCCGAATACCATGGACGTCGATATCGTGGTAACAAGTTACGCTGTGAAAGACAAGCTGGAACTTACAATCACGATTAAGGATAGGGGTTCATCGGACCTCAAGCAGTGATGGTATGTGTCTGGATGATATCAACTCAGTATCTATCCGGGAAAAGAATTCTTAACGCATAAAACTAACAAGTTGCGTTAGGGCGGATAGCGGAAAACTTACGAAAGGCAGTGAAAGAACTGGAGAGTTAGATTTAGATTAATGGTCGGGACATTTTGCCATGTAAAGTTGAAGTTAGGTGTGACACACTACTATCCCGTCAAACATCACCGCGCATTCCGGTTTACAAAAAGATCAGCTCTGATCATGGCAATAATTTTCATGCAGAGCGGTGATGCATTCTTGAACCAATCGATAACTTCGAGGAGTGTTTTGAGGCCAAACAGTCATTTCGGTTTGATGCACAATTTGCTGCTTTCATTATGACAGGGAGCTTGGACCAGTCGCGACTCAAAATCGACAGACATGAAAGCTCTGAGATCTGTATGACTGTTTAATAAGTACTTAAATCTACCAGATCCCATGTGCTCTCACCAGCCTGGAGATAGAGCTTACTCATGATATAAAAGAGGGAAACCAAGTCCGAGGATCACGATCGCGTCGTGATTTGCGATTCGAGTCGGAATCTTCGCAAAGGTCGTAATTAGGCATTTACGAAATATTCAACTAAGTCAAACCCAACAATTAGTCAGGTTTAAGGACGGATCAAGAATTTCGTCTAAATGCCATGATTGCGCGATCTTTATCGCAAAGTTGGAACAATGTGAAGGCATGAGTGTGACATATCTAAAGTTGTAAACTGGCAAACAAATCACGGGACAGTGAGTAGGCTAAAACGCAATGAATCTGCCTTCTTGAATATCCTCATAAGAAATAGCTGTGGGACTTCCTTGACGGGGCTCACATCACTCGCTCCCCTGTCGTGGCCCCAATTAGACCTTTGCTCCACAGACTTCTCCATTGGGAACACAGTAGCCACAGATGAAGCTATCTTGCGGATACACCACCACAATACACAATGGTCTGGTGGTGTAGTTGGTTATCACGTCAGTCTAACAACTCGAAGCAATTCGGCTGAGCACACTGAAGGTCTCCGGTTCAAGTCCGGGCTAGATCATCGGCATGGGCGATTGGTTTAGTGGTATAATGACCGCTTAGCAAAGAAGTCATTCTTGAATCTTTCTGCGGTAGGTCCTGGGTTCGATTCCCAGATCGTCCAATTTTTGCCCCATACGATACTGATGTTGTTTTCGATGTGGCCGTGGCAAGGATTTCGTTGCTCCCTCTAGGCTGGCTCCTGTCATCATTTTGTGGATAAATCCAAGGTTCCCTACAGCATGGCTTAAGAAAGCCACAGTCTGACAGTGGCGGATGGCCACCAGTGACCAGTCCAATCACTGGAGAAAAGCGTGCCGCTGTTGTGGGCCCGTGGCTGCTTACAAGCGCTAGTGTACCTGTAACTGCCAGGTGTGACATGGTGTCTTACGTCCAAGCAAAGGGTTCAAATCGTAGCCGAGCTACATTGTCGACACCTCCAAATTATGGTTGTTCCTTCGGTTTTAAAGAACTACAAAAGCCAGTTTGAAATCTACACCAAAGATGGCATCGTTGCTGTTACGTAGGTGGCCATTAATCGCTGTCGTGCACCAACAGCTGCGACGACCCTTTGGGTTTCGTACCATATTCATTGCAAAATGGCTTATAGGCCATTGCTTTATCCGACTATGTGAGTCCAAAGGAATTTGCACAATCATTAGCGACTGTTATGCTGAGAAGCTGATAGGCCCGAAGGCTCAGTGAATCTGACACACCTTGCCAGGCATCCAAACAATTCGATCCTGGCTTGGTTGGAGCGGGCGCGCTAAGATAAGGAACATCCCTATTGGCTCTCATCCGCCAGACCCGGCGCTGAACTTTCTGACTTTCACTTCCCGCCAATAAACCTAGATGAGACGAAGCTTTTCTTCAAATAAAAACGTTTAAAGCACAGTCTCCCCCTTGAATCGGTATGATATTGTTCGCAGTTTTGCTCCGGTCCCCACCAACCGCTTGACAAGACGTCGCAAATTCTGTGGCCCATCATGGCACCTACATCGCAACTGTTGCCCCCGTCATTAGCTTGTCAGGCATTAGCCTGCTAGCGCTCGGCTCTGTGGTGATTTTGTACCTCATCAGCCGAGCTTTCTACAGCGTCACGTATCCCAAAGGAGTTCCACTCGTTGGTGAGCCAGAAGGAGCCACACGATTCAGTATTCGCACATACTGGCGATACTACACAGACTGCGAAGGCTTGTATCGCGAGGCTTACGATAATGTATTTCACCCGCGAGCCTATCTATCCTATTCAATCGAGCTAATTTATAGCCCAGTACTCCAAGAAGGGCAAGCTTGTGGTCGTTCCCGGACTTGGTTTCCGCCATGAGGTCATCATGCCTACGAGTTCCATGCGCTGGGTGCAGACTCAACCAGAATCGGCGCTTGACGTAAACACAGCGTTCGCAGAGATTGACCAAGTGCATTGGGCTCTCGGACACGATCGCTACGTTGTCGACGCATGGCAAGGACTCTTGGTCAAGACTGAGCTGAACGCTGCATTGGAAAACATTTGTGCCGCCTTGAACGATGAGCTTGCTTTTGCTTTTGACAAATGGTTTGGGACCGACTCAGAGTGGAAAGAAATTGACCTGTTAGAGTCAATGAAGATGGTTGTAGCTCAGGCCGCTAGTCGCTTCACGATTGGTGTCGACTTGTGTGAGTACCTTTGGGCCAGGACAATGAACTCTTGTGCTAACACCCACTAGGCCGAAACGAGGAATATCTGAACCTATGTCTGGATATTATCAACCGGCTCATCCTGAATGCAGGCGCTTCGGGGGCTAGTCCACGGATTCTGCGGCCTATGGTCGGCACTTTGATTAATCTCCCATTGCACAGCAAAATCAACAGGCTCAAGAAGATGTTCGAGCCGATTTGGGAGAAACGTCTCGAAACGTTAAAATACGACCGAGAAGACCCGAACCATGATGAGCCACGTGACCACATACAGATGATGGCACGCTACGCTAAAGAGCATCGCCCGGAGGAATTCAACGATATCGACATGATGACGCGACGTTTGATCGCAGCTAACTTTGGCTCAATGCACCAAACCAGTATTCAAACTACCAATATGCTCCTCAACATCTTGGGCTCTGATTCAGAGTTCAACACCATTTCCACTTTGCGAGATGAAGTTAATCGTGTCCTGTACAGCGACGGAAACGACAACTGGACAAAGGCCAAGGTCAGGATGATGGTCAAGGCAGACAGCGTCGCTCGGGAGACTCTTCGGGTCAACAGTTTCGGCGGGCGTGCAGTCTTCCGGAGGGTGATGGTGGATGGCTTCAAGACACCGGATGGTACCCACTTGCCCAAGGGTACTCTCATATCTTTCCTCGGACAAGCAGTGCAGACAGACAATGAGATCGTGGAGGACCCCCTGAAGTACGACCCTTTTCGCTTCTCCCGCATGCGGGAGAATGCCGCTGCAAAAGACGAAAAGGCGCCCCCTGTCTCCTTTGTCACAACCAGCGCCGAATTCTTGCCATTTGGTCACGGAAAGCACGCATGCCCTGGTCGGTTTCTTATTGACTTTGAGCTGAAGATGATCATCGCCTACGTGTTGGGGCATTACGATGTGGAGTTCCCTCCGGAGTACAACGGGAAGCGCCCAGAGAACCACTGGGTGACTGAGGCATGTTTCCCGCCGGATGGTGTCAGAATACGCGTAAAGAGAAAGAAGGACGCCAACCTTGAATGAGGAAAAGGGGCACCATGAAGTTAGATGGTGCAAACTATTAGTGTTGTTGGAAGCAACATCCCATCGGCTGCGGAGTCACATCAATCTTGCCAAGATGCGGAGAACACCAAGAAGATTGACAGCCAACATACTTTCTTCGAACTGAAAACATACAAATAGAATTGTATCTGGAGAAATAATCGATATTTTGCCGCCTTTCTGATAATATGCGGCGCGTCCCGGTTCACAAACTGAAAGGTAGATTTTATCTTGCGAAATTCGAAGTGAGATTACAACTTTGAATGATGCTGGGACAACCCTTGATACTTTTCTCGGGGTGACGACGAGGCGGTACAAACCCGAACTCTCACAAGACTATGCAATAAGTCAGTCTGGGGTTTTAGAAGACAATTAGAACCAGTTTATCGATTGCTTGCCTTTTGAGAGCTCAAGAAGAGTTTTATAACTATTTCCTACTGATGACGGCAAGGTAGGGGAGCTGGCCCCTCTTCAGCTATATACATGAAGCTAAAAACTATTCTAAGATCAATCCCCCTAGGCTCCTACGGATATAATAATTGTTTCAGTCTCCACTAGACGCACTGGGAGTAGAATTCGTTCAGAGCTTGGCACGTGGATCCTGCGACACAAGTCGTTGAGCCTGTCCAACCCTGGCCACCACACTGGCCGTACTTGGGCACTGTTGCGCCGCCGCCGCCGCTTGCGGCCGTTGTCGTCGTTGTTCCAGGTCTGGTGGTAGTCACCGGCGCTGGAGCAGTAGTAGTTCGCAGCGTTGTGGTAGGACTACTTCCTCCGTTCCCGCCATTGCCTCCGGCAGGCGTCGCACTCGATGTCGCGGTCGGTTTGGCAACGCTTTGAGCGACGGTCGACGGGAGACCCGAAACCAGTGTTGGGCCCGGCATCGGGTACACAATGGGACTGGTGTAGATGTTGAAGAGGATGCCGGGGTCGTTTGACTTGTACAGCGCAGTGCCCTTGACTCCGGCAGGAGCAAGGGAGCCTCCTCCAGTGACTTGCAGGTTGAAACACTGAGGGTAAGCTTGAGCACCGTTGGGGTTACCTCCTGAGTGCAGCGCAATGATCTCATGGCGGAGGACGTAGTTACCAGGGGCAAGAGTGGGCGGGATCTGAACCGTCCAGGTGAAGCTGTTCGCGATGAGCACATCATCGGCCCACTTGCCGTTCTGGAGCGACATGTCCACGACACCGCCGGCGTCAATTTTGAAAAAGTTCAGGGAGGTCTTGTCAACGGTTTCGCAGTCGCCGCTGCACTTAGCGAGGTAGTCGATGACAGGGCCCTTGTGCGAGTCGGGCCAAGTATTCCAGATGAGCTGGATTTTGGCTCCTGCAGGGACGGTGGCATGGCCGCCGGCGGGGCTGCCGTTTTTGTGGCAGATGATGTCGTTGGTACCGAAGTTAACGGGCTCAACGAAGCCGTTGTCAGGGGCGTCGATCTTCCAGCCAACAACAGGTCCCGTAGGGGGAGAATAAGTGAAGGCGGGAGAGTCCCAGCCGCGGTAGGCAACACCGTCAGCGACAAGCCAATCCACGTGGCCGTGAGCCGCGACGGTGGCAACTAGGGCCAGGAGGAGAGATGAAGGGTTGAGATTGCCCATGCTGCTACTGGTCGTAGTAAATTGATCGTAATGAAGGTATACAGAGGTAACCCGGAGACTTGGGTGATAATCGTTGACAAGTTCAGGCAAAATGCAACCCAGAGAGCTGGGAATTGCGGCATATATAGTGCTCCGTTTTGAGCCACAGGCATCGCATCGATGGTGCCAAAAGGATTCCAGCGGATATTGGTCACCATCCCAATCATCGAGTGGGGCATCGTGCCATCACGAAGCAGTCACGGCAAGATGTTGCCGTAGTCTGACTACCCAAGTCATCTACCGGGTTTAGATTAAGTCAAGACCCAAGAACCAAAGATTTTCTTCATTTCCCCACAGACTCCTGCATGACTACCTTGCCCACCATGCGGCAAGTCCTTGTCACGAGCCCATGACGGCGCGCCATGATGGGACGCATTCATCCGTACTGCCTGAATCGGACGCTGGGCATGGCGTCCAAGCTGGCAAAATTGATTGGGAGCCATAATGTCAGAATACTTGGTTTCCGGCTGAGAAGGTAGAGCACGTGTAGTCCAAAAATGGTTGCGGCTAAGGAAGCGCCAACAAATTAAAAATGTCAGAATTAGGAAATCTCGGTTGGTTGGCACCGAGAAATGTAACGGGCACAGGTGTTGGGGTCGCATCGTGGGACCGAGAATGTTGGATCGAAGTGATTGGCGGGCCGGCAGCCCGGATGGTCTTTGTAACACCGTGGCTGCCTCCCTACAAATCGTTTGCTCGTCAGAAGTTTTGGTGGTCCGTCGATGTGGAGGGTGGCTGCATCCACGAGAAGCTACCATCAGTACTTAAAAGAGCGGGTATCATTGGACATGCCTAAGCTGACTGTAGATGACATTCAAATCGAGTATCCCAAAGAAAACCCCACTGTATGAATGAAGAAGACCATGGGATGAAGGAAAAGGCCCCTTTTCTTCGGCATTTTTGGTCATTGATGGTTGACGAGAATGATTGTGCGTAATCACCGTGGCGTTTTTAGGTTCGCGGCCCCCTGTTGCCGGTCGTTCGTCATCTTTCAATACTCTTTGATGTTGATGCCTTTGATGGATATGCTTATAGAATATTTCTCAAATCCCTTCAGTATAGGTTCAGTTGTTTCTGGGCTTGATGTGAGGAAACACGAGACGGTATACGCTTATCAGTCAATCCACCAAGGCCACAATCTACAATGACAGGAAACGGTGACGTAGAGATATCGACAAAGACTTTAATGAAGCCGGGGACGCTGTCCATGGAAAATTTAGTGAGTCATCAATAACGACGACTGACTTCGACGTACCCAGCTGATACGTCTTGTCTCTAGCATGCTCCAGGAAAAGTTGTGCTTTATTTCTTGTACTCGGTGTGAAATGTCGGAAGATATAGCCCTTTCCCGTTTTGATCGATCTTGATTCTGGTCTTGTCTGCTCCACCCCATCGCAGGTCACATTCCTCAGTTCTACGTCGCGGCCTGTATGTTGTCAACCATAAAGAATGGTTCCCAAAACCACAGGCATTAGAAATCCAGTATGTAGCTATTCAGGTCTATACCTTCATGTCACAGTAACGTCGAATGACACGCTAGCGTAGCTCAATACGCAAGAGATACAAGGACAGTGCAATGTGACATGTAATGAGCGTGTTTGTTTCATTTCAGTCAAATAGCTGGAATACGGCTCTCCTTTTCTTCCTAAGTCCTCAAACTGTCACAGGGAATGTCAGACGGCACGCCGATAGGGCTGACAAAGTAGTCGTGGTACCAATACACCTGCTGCTCTGGTATAGTGGACAGGTTCGGCGCCGCATCAACAGACTGATTTGTCTTCAGGATTGTGTATTGAGTCTTGTAGCTGTGTCCAATGATTAGAACCCACATCAAACGGACAGGATAAATCTTTTTTCATATATATGGCACTCACTAGATCTGCGAGCAGTTACCCGTCTTGAAGTTGTTTTCAATGCGTCCGTGGGCCTCATATACTGTTGCGGTTGCGTTGTTGTCGACAACAAAAGTTGTATTGGGAAAGTGCTGCACGTGCCATTAGCCACGTCTACCCACCATGAAAATATCCCAAAGGGCGGGTGGAAACATACCGTCAAGCTCATGTTGCCATCAATGGGCAAGAAGCGTTGCTTGCATCTGGTAATCGCTTCGGCGCCAACGCAGTGAATGCTCAGGGTCGTTTGCATACCATCTCGCGTGAAAAAGTCAGTATATGCCGTCGTGGCGGCGGGATCCTCCGCGGGAGTGACCAGACTGGACTATGTGTCAGTCGCTGGCTCAAATTTTACAGAGAGACCGCCACTTACGCGCGGAGGAAGTCCTTAAACTCGGGCTGCACGCCGGGTTGTGGGTCGTAGTTGGTGAAGTCGATTGCCGCAACGAAGCACGCGGCGGAAAGCGCCGGGATGACGAATGAGAGATGCATCTTGGATATCCGAGTACCCAACGGAGTTTGAAAGAGTGACTTGAATGACTGTCCTTAAACTATTAATGAAAAGACGTGTCTTGCGGGGTTTCACGCTCCCGCTTTCAAAATAAGGGACCAATTTATACAAAGTGTAGTTGAAAATAACTTTAGATTATGCGGATGGATGGCCAAGCCGCAGTGTCGATGTGTCAGACAGAAAGCCCGTCATACAACGACGCTACATAGCCCGCCCATATTATAAGTAACTACAAAGGTCGATTTTATCCCAGAATTACGGACTGAGCAAGAGGCTCTTTGAGTAGTCATCTGAGAACGTTCTAGGTAGTGCCCTTATTTCGGCTTAAGTCGTCCCAGTTGACAAAAGCTTAATAGACAAATCAACCCAAAGACCTGTAAAGCTTAACAAGCTTCCGACCAACCAGAAGCAGTGGAAAAGAGAAAGAATGAGAGATACGGGCCACTTCCCAGGGTCGAAGGTGCCCCTGAGCTGGGGTGCACCCTGACTAACATGGGATGAAGGTTTACAGGGCCTCCTGTTCCACTCCATGCCGAACCCTCCCGGCCCTATTCAGACCATCCGTTTGCGCCGGCGCCGCCGATAAAATGAAATGAGATCCCTGAGATTGAAATCTTGGGTGCGCATGGCAAGGCGCTGGCAGACAGCTTTGAAGTTGTTTAAAGTGCCGAGTTGAAATTTCGGTACTGGCATTTCTAGAAGTGGCACTTCCAGCTTTCTGTGCTCTCACCTCATCCATCCCAGCATCTCACCGGTTCAGTCTTTGCCGCGTCCCCATTGCAGGATGAAGACCCCCACAGCCCTGTTCTTCTTGGCTGCCGCCCTCGTTAACGCGGTCGACATGGCGCCCTACAAACCCGCCGCGGACGTCGACGCGACGTTTGCCAAGTTCGTGGAAGAGTACTACCTCACATCGGAAGACAAGGACGCAACTACCTCGTTCACCAACTTCTGGCCAGCCGACGGCAAGCTCATCATCGCGGGACGCACGTTCGTCGGGTCCTCGGCCATGCTGGGCGTCAAACAGTCGCTGCTCCCGCCGGGCGGGAACAAGTCGTGGTGGCACCTGATCCGCGGCGCGACTGTGGCAGGGGAGACGGAGGCGGAGAAAACATTTGTTGCAGAAATTGTGATTCAGACCACCTATATTGGAGGGAACTGCTCGCAGGCGTAGTAAGTCTCGCCATTACTCGACAAAGACGCGCACCTGTAAATGATGCGCCTCGATGGAACGAGATGAACTGACCTTTCACAGTGGTAACGCGAGCTTTACTATCCTAAAGGACGCGCAAAGCACGCCGAGGCTGGAGCCGCACTCGGAGAGCTTGAGTGTGTACAACCTGACAGTGTCGACGACATATTCTCCCACGGACATTGCATGCAGCTCATCCTGAGCAAACCACATATAGGACACACTCGATCAAATGAGCAAGATGGTATGACTCACGACGCCTCGGACTCGCATGTATTCGTAATTCTGTTCATTTCATTCCGGATCAAGTCTGGATTACTTGTACTATCGTATCCAATTTGCACCCAGGGAAATGTTTCGCTCCGCAATGCCGTAAAGACAGGTTTTGCCCAGTGTGCCGACCCTTACACACGTGGTTTTTGGTGCCATTCGCCCAAAACGCCCCAAAAGACAACAAAAGGTCTTTATATGATGTGGGAACAGCCGCCCATGTTATTCTATACGTAACAAATGCCGGTCGTAAAATCGTTCAATAAGGAGTAAGAAGCAAACGCGCACTAAATGGTATCGTAACTGGCAAGATGTAACAGATGAAAGGGATATATATGCAAGTAAAGGCAAGTAAAGCTTAAAGCGAATAGAGACGTATCTCAGATATGACGCTTCTCATCGCCCTTGGCAGCAGCAGTGTTGTTCTCCTCGGGTTGGGTGGAGATAATGATGGCAGGCGCAGCGACTTTGGTTTCCTCGGAGCCAGAGGAGACACGTGCCTCCTCATCGGAAACGGCGTCGGCGTCGGTGGATTTATTGCGACGGAAGACGGCGCCAACTCTGGAGAAAAACATGCCAGAGGCACGGTAGACAATGACGACGGGTCTGCCGACTGTCTTGGCAATCTTCTCGAACCATGGGTCAGGGAAGAGACGAACGAGGACAGCCATGGGGAGAGAAAGGGAGGCCAGAACCACGGACACAGCCCAGTGCTCGCCGCTGATGCCGCCCTCGGTGATGCGGAAGGCCTTGCCACCAACAAAAATGATGGCAACCTGCGCGCCGACCATGATGCAGTTGATAACGATGAAGAAGTAGTTGCGGTGAACGCCCTCGAAGATGTTGAACTTGTTGTCGAGACGGCGGTTGTTGAACTCGTTGAAGATCTGCATCCAGACAAAGGTGTTGAAGATCATGGAATCAAGCTCAAGCTGCTCGTTCTCGTTGAGGGGGTCGTAGCCGAAGATGGCGTTACCAGCAAAATGCAAGATGAGGGTGGCGGTAAGCTGGAAGATGGCTTGACCAATGATCATCTTCCACATATTGATGGTGATGAGCGGCGCCTTCTTCCCCTGCGGGAGACGGTCGAGGATCTTTTCAGTGGGAGGGTCCGTAGCCAGAGCAAGGGCGGCGAAGGTGTCCATGATGAGGTTGACCCACAGGAGCTGGACGGCGGTGAGGACAGATTCCATGGTGGGGGAGGAGACGGCAGTGATGAAAGCGAGGAGGACGGCAGTAATGTTGACGGTGATTTGGAACTGAGTGAATCACATTAGTATCTTGCCATACAGTAGCTTTGATGAGTTGTACATACCTGAAGGAACTTCTGCACGGCGTCGTTTACTGCTCTTCCCCACTTCAACGCCGTGACAATCGAAGTAAAGTTATCGTCCATCAACACAATAGAAGAGGCCTCCTTGGCAACTTCAGTACCAGATATACCCATAGAGAAACCAACATCCGCAGCCTTGAGCGCGGGTGCATCGTTGGTACCGTCACCAGTCACAGCAACGGTTTCGCCAAGAGCCTTGAGGCGAGTGACCAAGACGCGCTTGTCCTCGGGCGAGGAACGGGCAAGAACCTGCAGACGAGGCAAGATCTCGTTCATCTTCTCAACGGAGAGCTTGCGGAAGACAGGGCCTTCCATGATGAGCCCATTCTCAGTGAAGATGCCACATTCGGTTGCGATGGCCTGGGCTGTGACAGCGTTGTCACCGGTGACCATGCGAACAACCACACCGGCATGCTTGGCCTTGCGGACAGCCTCGGGGACACCGGGACGAACGGGATCCTGGATACCAACAACCCCAGCGAAGACAAGGTCGTGGAGGATATCACCAAGATCAACATGTCCTTCGATAGTAGCGTTGACACCATGAGGCGGCCATTGAGGGAAGTCCTGGTAGATCAGGGCAATGGTGCGAAGAGACTGCTTTGCGTAGGCATCGATGGTACCTTCCAAGAACTGGCGGTCGGATTGCTCCAAGACAGGGGTGGAAAGGTCGGCGATATTAAGCTTCTGGGTGCAGTATCCGAGGAGAATTTCAGAAGCACCCTTAACGACTAGTCGGTAGCCAGCGTGGCTGGGCAGCTTGATAACGGCAGCCATGCACTTCTTGCCGGAGTCGAAAGGCATCATCTGAACTACATCTTCGTTGGAGCGGGCCTCAGATAAACCTTGCATGCCCAAGTGGTCCTTGGCGAACTGAAGCAGGGCGGTCTCAGTCTTGGAACCGATGAAGGTGGCCTGGCCATCCTCCTCTCCTTCGAAAGCAGTGGAGTTAATGGCGACCGACTGAACGAGAAGCTTCTTGGTGGCCTCGGGAAGAGACTGTGCAAACTCCACGGCGCTGGTGACCTTCTCGCCGTCGACCGACTTGGTGAAACTAGCGGTACCAAAGGTACCGGCAACCACCGTCATCTTGTTCGTAGTCAAAGTGCCGGTCTTGTCTGAGCAAATTGTCGTGGCGTTACCCATCGTCTCGCAAGCTCTGAGAATGCGAACCAGGTTGTTCTCCTTCAAAAGGCGGGTAGTAGCAAAAGCCAGCGCCAGGGTGACGGCCAAAGGAAGGCCCTCAGGCACGGCGACGACAATGATCGTAATAGCCACGATGAGGATATCCATGAAGGCCGAAGCCTTCTCAGCGCTACTCCCGGTGTTGCCAGACAGTCCGGCGAGAAACCGGATGAGGAGAACAACAAATAGCAAAAGGGCAGCGCTGCTTCCGAGCTTGGCGATAGCCATGGCCAAGCCCTCGAGCTTCTTCTGCAGAGGCGTAGCCTCCATCTCAGTGCGAACTGACATCATGATCTTTCCGAAGCTGGAGTTGGTGCCAACAGAGGTGCAGACAAAAGTGCCAACACCCTCCAGGACCTTGGCACCGGAGATGATGAAAGGATCGATGTCTTTGGAAGCGTTTCCAGACTGAAGGGCGTTGAAGACGGCATCGCCGCCAGTCTTCTTGAGAGCATCAGACTCACCCGTGGCCGAGGATTCATCGCATTTTAGGTCATGGCCACTGATAAAGATACCGTCCACTGGGACCAGATCACCAGGCTCGAGATGAATAACATCGCCGACCAAGATCTCCGCAACGTTTATCATGAAGGACTTGCCAGATCGAATAACCTTGACCTCGCGGTCCTCCTTCTTAGCGTTGAGCTTAACAAAGGCGCGTTCCTTTTGCCAGTCGTTGAGAGATCCAACTAGTGTGACGATTAAAATAGCAACCACAATGGCGACACCCTCAACCCAATCAACCGGTTGGCCTGCTTCAGGGTCATGTTCGGCGCCAAAGGTCTCATAAAGACCAAGCGCTAATGAGATGACAGCAGCAACAGTCAACAAAATAATGACTTTGTCGTTGTAGGCATTCCACATCAGCTTCCATAAAGGGGTTGCCTTTTTAGCGGGAAGCACGTTTCTGCCGTAAACTCGGGTGCGGTCAGTGAATCCATCACTGTTGGCATGCGTTGCGGTGGCTGATGGCTGAGCACCTGTCGTGGCGAAAATGGGTTCTTTGTGACCGGTGGCTTCCTCAAAACTGACTTTGCCTCGCACAGCCACCTCGTCTAGAGATAGTCCGGACTTGACATCTGTTTGCAGGCCCTTTTCGATGCCGTAAAGACCACCCAGTGCCTGGAAGGCGGATAAAGATTTTGGGTTCAAAAGTTTGTTGAGGTGCCCAGGGCTAAATGCAAAAGGGTTGTTTTCGACGACAAAGTCGGCTTCCGTGCCAGGGTCGGGCCTCAGAGCGCTATCTGGGTCTTCGGTGACAACGGTCGAATGCATACTTGGTGCAGCACTGGTTGCTGCGCTGATTGCCGGCGTAAGGAAAGGATTTGAGTGTGTCGAGATGGGAGAGGGAGTTATTGTGTCGTCGTTGTCGTTCCCGCGTTGGTTACGGGTGTCGACACGCAACTGAGGAGGGGCGAGAGACGCCATTAGCACCGGTGCAGAGATGTCTGAAGCTTATGCGAAAGACCTCTCATAAACGAGTGGAAGTAAGATGTTGGGCTTGAGGTTTTTTGGAAAGAAAGAATAGTCTTGTGACAAGAGTCAAGCCAAGGACGTTGATTGTGTGACGTTGGCGAGTGAAAGGTATTTAGAGGGATTGTAAGAGGCAGAGGCAGTGCGAAGAGGCGAATAACTTGCGTATACCAAGTTGCGTCTTCCAAGGTAGAGAAGGTGGCAGAGTATTGGGCATACCACGGAATTGTAAAAGACAACTTTGAAGTACTGAGCGCCGTGAGTCTTGGCGAAGACAGCTGCGCCTTTTCGCCCCGTCAAGTAGAGTTTCTGGTTCTCTCGTTCACTGACGCAGACTGGTAAGCCTGTGTGCCTGCTTCTTACGGTGACGGTTTCGAGGCAGTGCAAAGCGACGGCTTCGGGCGAGAGGCAACAGTCCGGGTTTCGTCGGCAAGGATACGGAGTTGCTGAATGTAGTGCCAGATAATCAAAATTGAGCAACCGTCATGGTTTTCAGTTAATGTCTCACTCGTCAAAACTTGGTGATGGAAGAGAAGAGATTTCAAGAGCGTGTGAATATTGCCGACGGCGTCTGGAATCCTTAGACGACAAGACTTTGGAACGTGGCAGTGCTCACAACGACATGCCTTTCTTGGCAAGTTCAAGAGGATATGAAGTCAAGCGATACCCCACTGGCAGCCGATGGATTGGTCAAATCAGAGACAGTGATAGTAGGTGCGTGAGAGAAAGAGAGAAAAAAAAGCGCGCTTTACCCGACTGTCACAGCAGTCGATGGCGTCCTTGGCGGGGATACAAGACCGCAACGGGATGAAAAGTCTTGCAAGACGTGATCAAGAGGGGAAGGAGCCAGAGAAGATGGAGAGCTCTGATGGAGAGATAGAATGACGTGCCGGGGATTTCCTCCCATTCCTCTCCTCTTGGCTTTGATTAGCAAGATTAGCTGGGCGAGAAGGTGAGAGGGAGGTAACCGCCCAAGGTCTGGGCATTGAGGCTGTGCAAGAGGGAAAAAGCGCAAAAGGACCCGACGAGGGAATTAAATTGGAGCATCAAGAAGCGAGCCGTCCTAAGTGGCAGAAAGGCTTGAGTCGGGACTATCCCAGAAGCGCCGTGCAACAATGAGTCGGGGTCCAAACAAGGGGCACAATGGAGACTGACAGCGAGCAACGTCCGCTTGGCAATTTCAATGTTTGGGCCTTGGCGTTTTGTTGATGCAAGTGCCGGGACCTTATCACGTTTGTCCAGGACTCCGAGGCGTACATAGTACGGGTGCTGCATGGCAACCGTAATGCGTGCGTAGTGAAGGGCCAAGGACAGTAGGTATTCTGGCCAAACTGCAACTTGCAGATAAGACCGAGGGCCGCCCCGGGATGCCATAGACGGAGATGGCGTCCGAGATTGAGGTGGCGGCCCCATCGTTCTGGCACCACATCAGGTGCGGCGTTCCAATCGGCGGGTGTGCGCACCATTAGATAGACGCCGTAGGAATCTGTGCTGTTCCCGTCCCGATCGGGGACCGGCCGCGAATGGCACGTCCTTCGACCTCCTGATACCTGCCAAGGTGGATCGAGACACTCAGAAAGGGGTGGAAATGCAAATGGACGCCAGCGGTCTTTCTTCTTCGGCGTATCGCCATGTCGCTATAGCCCACATACCACAGCAAAATACGGTGATGGCTTCATCACGCAGAAGAGCAGCCCGACCAGTGTAGCATCCGACGAGAACAGCGAAGGCCGCACCTGTTGCGACCATTGACAAAAAGGCTGGCATGTGAGATTTCGGAGGGGGGTTGGATTGGGAAGGTTCGATGACACGAAGGATGATGGATGGATCGGGGTCATGTCCGCCCACAGCCGAAGCAAGAGTCACACCTTGCTGGCACAATGGGGGCGAGATATCGAGATTGGAGTGGAGAGAAATGAGGTTGGTGTTGCTGTTGGTCCATGTCTGGGCGTTTGGGATCTAGTCAGCCAGTCTCGAGGTGGATGCGTCTGTCTGGCGCCATGTGAATGAAACGAAACTCGAGACGATCCGGAGAAGCAATGAACTAACAGCGATAAGGTCTTGGCCGCGACCGGCGGTGATGAAGAAAGAGGAGATGGCATGGAGAGGATCGGAACGAAGGTGGAGAAGAGCGAAGTGAAGGCTTGAAATTGAAAAGACATACTATGTACAGAGAGTACCTTCCCATCGCGAAATAGGGCCAAGAAATTTGAGAGGGCCGGCAGGAGAAATGGGCGGTCGAGAAGCGAAAAAGCCCACAGTCGAATCAAGCTCCGAAAGGGGCGTGGGGTGATTGCACTAGTCGGCGCCAAGAGTGGCTGTGGCATGCACGCTCCAAGGGTTCCATTGGTTCGCTTAGGTTAGACCCGATGGTGAGTGACCCACCACAGCTTCTTTAGGTAAGCAGCTGCAGGCAGGGAATGCACGTCCCTCCTTCCCGCGCACCTGGTGGCAACTGTACCCGTTCTGGAACACCTCGGGGATCCGCCGACATGTCTCTGGCCAATCACATGTCTCTGCGTCTTCTCGACCTTCCTGTCACTTCTTCCCCACATCATCCATCCGATCCCAGAGTGTCACGTCAGTTGCGTCTTGTTCTTTGGTCTCGGCTTGAAGCACCACCACGCGATCAAGCGCCGTCAACCAACTGCCAGCCATCCTAGTCATCAGAAAACGACTGGTTTTTTTTTTTTTTTTTTTAATAGGTTCAACAAGTTTTCTGGCTAGTGTCATGGCTTTGGTGACTATGAAACCTTGACTGCATTCAACTCTTCGACGTAACTTCCATCGGCTACCATCCCGGCCTGCACGATGACTTAAACGCCAACTACGTGGCAGCAGGGAATCCGAACCAGGAAACCATCCTGGTTAACAACGTCCCAGCACAGGGGAACGCGGGGAAGCTTGTTGTCTAGCCAGACGAACCACGGCGACCATGGCCATGTTTGCTTTCGTCCTCCCCTTAGTGTTTGACTCGAACTGGTCCAGCTGAGCACTGAGGGTGTATCGCTCCGGAAATCATCACCGGCGCCTGCATCGATCATGTTCCAAGTTCTTTTCCGCCAGTCAACTTTTACGTTTCCGTTGACCAGCACCATCATACTATGTTGACCTGTCGATCCCCTCGGAGGTAACCACGCGATGCTCCCATATCCATAAAGCAGACGTTGTCGCCAAGGACAACCGGCGGTGCGTGACGATTTTGCTTCGTTGAGCTTCCATCTAGGACTTTTAGGGCGCAGTTGGGGCGTCTTGCGCAGATTCAAGTCTTTTTTCCACATCTCAGGAGCTTGCCTGATATCAAGCTTTCTGCTCTGCGTGCCCAGACAGGTTGCTGCCGCCGTCTCGCCGTCTCGCTTCGCCTTGGCAAGACAATAACCAAGAATTCCCTACATGCACCTCGCGCTTTCGACTCGTTCTCATCATGAGGCTGAGCAAGCGTGAAGATGGGCTTCAATCTCCACGCGGAGGGGACGAGTGATCCCAAGGAAGTCCGCAATTGGCGCATCCACATGATCGCCATCATCGCCTCGATGAGTGCCATTGCCAGTAAGTTTCGACTTGCCCCTTAGCATTTTCAGCTTGGAACAGACGGGCTATGTCTGACACTGCCCAGTGGGTCACGACACCTCCGTCATAGGTGGCACCATGGCACTCGACTCATTCCGCTGCGACTTCAACCTGGCCGATACGGCGCCGACCGTCCGTGATACCCTCCATGGAAACATTGTAGCAACGTTCCAAGCCGGTTGCTTTTCCAGCGCACTTTTTTACCTTCCCGCTGGCAGAATGGATGGGTCGCAAGAGGGCCATTATGATGTCCGCCTTGGTCTTTTTGGCCGGCGGGACTCTCATGACTGCTGCTCATGGCGAAACCGGCATGTTAATTGCGGGACGTGCCATCGCTGGCCTGGGTATCGGGGCAACTTCACTCATCGTCCCAGTCTACATTTCTGAAATAAGCCCTCCGTCAATCCGAGGCCATCTTGTCGGTCTTCTCGAGACTGCATCACAAGGAGGTGGCATGTGCGGCTTCTGGGTCAACTACGCTGTGGATCGTACCATCTCGGACTCGCTCCAGGCGCAGTGGATTGTCCCTCTCGCACTCCAGCTGCTGCCCGGAGTTCTTCTCTTCTTTGGTATTCTTATCTGTCCCGAGTCGCCGCGTTGGTTGGCAAAGAACGACAGGTGGGAAGATGCCAAGAAGGTTCTGGCTCACATCCGCGCGCTGCCCGCTGCCCACGACTATGTCAATAACGAAATTAGCGATATCAGGCGGCAAGTAGAAGACAGCAGCGCGAACCGTATGACGAAGATGCAAATGTTCAAGCGCTTGTTAGAGAGGGGCTCTCGTAACCGGATTGGCATTGGCCTGCTTCTCATGGCCTGCCAAAATTTGGTGCGTTCTTGATAACTTCAACCTGTCTGTGACGCATGCTAATACATACGACACGTAGACAGGCGTCAACATTATCACATACTGTGGGATAACATCCACTCAAATGTGGGTTCATTGAGCTGATCTGGAGCCTAGATTTGCCCCGTATCTTCGAGACCCTTGGCATCACAGGCACAAGCACAAAGCTTTTCGCCACGGGCTTCTACGGCATTGCCAAGACTCTCGGTATGGTCATCTTCACTGTCTGGCTGGCTGAGAAGGTTGGCCGCCGCAACGGTCTCATTTGGGGCGCCTTCATCGGATCCCTCCCAATGTGGTACATCGGCGGCTACGTCTTCCAGGCCGACCCGGCTGGCCAGGCCGCCGCAGGCAACACAGACCGTAACGCATGGGGATACATCGC